TGAAACTATATTACATAAAAAAAAATAAACAATAATTATTTCTATTTTAATTATCATTAGAAATAAAAAATTAATACTTTATCATTGGGGTGGTCAGGGGAGGGGAGGTTAGGTATCATATCCCCCCATTGGCTTAAAAATACAAAACAAAAAAAAGTACCTAATCTAATGCATACATTGAAATGCGTATTATATTTCGGCCAAGTTACAAGAAAAAACTTAATATATTGATTAGAAATTTTAGTCTAGGTAATTAGATAGAGAAGACGATTTTACGATTTATTCACAATTCTTATATGCTACATCCCCTTTCATTCCTAGGCACACCACTATACCTATTTACATCACAATCGCATGTGCACAATATTAGACGTGTTGCCTAAACAGACATGTATCCACGACATAATCTAGAAATTAATTACGAGTATGGCCGTCAACGACTATTCGATAGTCATTTTGTCTGACCGTTTTCTGCTATATAGACAACGCACCTATTATACAGGCAAATATACAATATTCACTTACCTCTCAGGGATCAATGATAGACTATTTCATACATATATCAATATATAACATACTGTTATTATCTTAGTATAGTTCGAAGTTTCAAAGAATTAAACAAGATTATCTTCATTAATATTACTATTAGTACTCATAAGTCACAAATTCACAATATAAACCAAACCAACGAACCACGATGTCATGGTCAAACAACTAGAATGGAGGATAACCTATTAAATTTAATGAATGGAAAATCAAACAACCAAACAACGCCATGAGACGTTGACAGTGTTGCCAACTACAGCACTTTCAGTGTCTCAGCGGTTGTTGTAATAGCTAAAACTATCTATAATGAACAATGAACAAATAATTATGAATCTTATCGATTTTTAATTTTTCAATTTCAAAATAAATTGTTTTGTTTTAAATTTATTTAATTTTAGTTTTTTTTTTCATCATCCCCTTCCCTTGACCGTATTTATTTACTACATGTATATAATAAAATTATATAAGATAATTATTTTAGATTATTGCTATAGGTACGGTATCCCCCACATATAAACGTAACTATACTCTATTCCATATTAGTTTGAAAAAACTCGCGCACTCATAAAAACCGCCGGAACAGTTGGACCGCTGTAATTGGCTGTTGGCATCTATCGTTTCTCGTCGTGGTTGGGCGACCGCTGTAGCCCACTGCCGTGTTTACAGCGTGTCGCGGTATAGTTCTAATAGGTACGTACGGTATACACGGAGTATGGGGTGTTTTGATAATACAGCTCACTACATATAGTCGTTGTTTTAACGGGTCGGTCGACAACAGCGCTCACCGTCGGTGACGCACGTGCTCCACCTGTGCGAACAATGACTTGTTAACGTTGTACATTTTTCCAAACTAATATGGAATAGATTATATATCACTATGTTAAGTAATTTCTTAACAAAGTTCGTTTATTTATTAGAATTTTATTATCAAATTTTGATGAAAATCATAAATATTATAGCCTTTTAAAACATGTACATTGTAAATTGTACAACCGAACTCCACTCAGAATCGTTTTTCGTTAACAACGATTAATCGTTGCGCACAGATATACTACATTCCTAACTTCTCATAATCTCATCTATAACAGTGCTCCACCCATCGTGCGAAGTATGTCCGTCTTTTTCAGTTAATAGGTTTCGTTTCTTTTCATATTGGAGGGTAGTATAAGCTTATCGCTCCTCCCCCTCCTTGGATACATAAATTGTATTTTCTATAGTCGGTATGATACCTAAGAAATATTACTCTCCCTCAGCTGTATTCATAATTTAGTATAATATCTTTAATCCAGGACCGGATTAAGTACGGAGCCTATAGGAGCTCGTTTTCCAGCCCTTGATGTATTGAAAGTGCCTTTTTTCTCATATCAAATTCAAAAAAAAGTTTAATTGAACATTTGCAATTCCAAATTGTATTTGTACCTATAATACCTATGTTTTTATTTATTTGACAATAATATAGGTGATAATAATATAATAAATATTATAAAATATTTACATCTTTAACTTCACGTTTTGGGCATGTTAATTTCAAAACAAAGAAAAGAGTATTTTTGGCATAAAATATTTTTTTTTATCGTTTATTTTTACATTCAAATTATAATGTTGCGTGATTTAATGGAAATTAACTGTCTTAACAGACACCTGGCATATTAAATATTTTTTCAAAAAATTATTCTATACAATAATTTCATTTGTAACATATTTTTAATGCTGTAAAATCGAGTCATTGGTAACAAATAATATAAGATTTCTTAATTAGACCAGTGGCGTGTAGAACATTGGTTTTGTGTAGAGCCTGAAAATTATCTATACCTACTACCATCGCCACGCCACTCTGCTTTAAGCTACAGTCCCACTGAGAGTGATTTTGCATTATTGCGTTTCTGCGATTTTAGACGTGAAATGTCCACTAGCGATTTTGATGATCTCACTGAAGTGATTTTACATGCGTTTTTGCGTTTTTGCCTCATGCGTGTTCATTTTATTTTCCATTCGCTCATTAGATCATCGATTAAAATGATGTCCAGAAAAATGTTGTAAATTTAAAACCAATACATTCATAATAGTATTAATGGTATTTTATTTTATTGATAAAATAATGTCTGTAAGTAAAGATATTATAGAATTAATAAACATAAATATATAATATTAATTAATTACCATTCATATTGACATCCTTCTTAAAATCGTTTTCTATGTTGGCCCCCAACATTTTTGGATTTTGGTCCTATTTTATGGTCGGAGTGTTTCGGATTCCACAGCTTCCTGTACGAATACTAGTGCAGTTATTTTTTCTGGCTCAACCAACGGGGAAGACATTTTGACAGTGATTAATCGCCGAATATCTAACTATCTTATTCTTTCAGCGTGTAGCGCTCCACGCGCTCTATGGGGCCATTACATATGATTTACATACTGTTATTAAAATCAATAAAACGCAAAATCGCTCTCCAGTGGGGCCGTAGACTACCGGGATCCAGGCCTGGTAAACTCGTAATCTGGTCCTGCTTTAATCGGTGCTGTATTTATTATACTAATTGAAATATTAAATTGTAATTAGTAATCACCCTATATAATGTAGTCATAAGTAATATTATTAACACTGTAGCATAAAAATAGTTATACAGAATACTGACAGAGCACATTCTTTATTAGTTGTGACTGTCTATCGTATAATAATATATGAGTATAGGTATAGGATTAGGTTTATTATATAATATATAATACGGTTAATCGAGCTCCACGGAACCCATTGCGGATAAACATGTGCATTGTATTTACATATTATTTATATTTATTATTTTCTGTATTATTATATAAGTTTATTAATTTAACTAAACACTGTCTGGATTACTTTTAATCTTTTCCATCTAACAATACCTATAGGTGTTATATACTATATGTTACATTATTAATACCTATTAAATGCTTTGGGTTCTTAAAAAATGTGTGAATAGACGATTCTATTTGATAATTGATATTATTTTTATAAAATATATATTACAGCCAGTGACGTATTTACGGGGGAATATTTGGGTTCAGTCCTCCCCTCCCAAAAACAAAAATTGTAAATAAGCATATTATATGTAGGTATTTATTGTTTAATAGTTACAATATTATTATCTGAAGTCACTCAGAACATGAAATTAATATAATAAATAATATATTTTAATTAATAAGTGTTTAGTGTATTATTTTGTACAATTTAGTTAACTATTAAATACTCAAATTCACAACTATTTTGATCGTAGAATTACGAATTTAAAATCATTATTTTACCTATATAAAATCTACTAAGGCGTTTAACTGTAAACTGCACTGTATTTTATCCACTAATTTAGATAAAATCTTAAAAAACTCGTAAAGAGTACACATCTAATAATTTCTATAAAATAACATAATGATTCAAATGATTATTATTATTTTAATAATCATAATAATACCTAATAATAACCTAATAATAGGTAATAGTTACCTATGCTGACGACTCTTGTCTTCTATTCTCTCAGAAATCATGGGATGGTGTATATAAGAAAGCCTGCAGAGATTTCAGTCTGATAATAAAAAGTTTAAATGTTAGAAATCTATCTTTAAATGTTGATAAAACTGTTTTTATGCTGTTCTCTATTAATAAAACATCTTTTAACTACACCTTAGCAATTCCTTATTGCATAAAGAATAAAATTTGTAAACCACAAAACTGCATAATAATTGAAATATTTGAATAAATTTGATACTTAGATGTTATATTTGATATTAACTTAAGATGGAATTTTCATATAAACAATTTATTAAGGAAGCTACATTTCATTACTTTTAAAATGGTTAAACTCAAAAATGTAGTACCAAAACAAACAATGAAAACAGTTTACTTTGCACTTTATCAATTAAACTTTCAATATGGCATATTAGTATGAGAAGGCCTTCGAGATAACACCTTAAATGCATTAGTAGTTAATAAAAATAATATAGTTAGGATTTGTCTAAATAAATTCACTCTACAAGGATCTACAAACACAACTAAAAAGAATTTGGTGTATTGCCTATAAGGTTTTTATATAAAAAAATTGCAATTATGTATTTGGTTAAGAAAATTAAATTTAAGTAACGATCAAAAGGAGGAACAAAAGCAATAAAAGGGAAATAAAAAAATATGATTTGACTGTTAAATATGCGAGTACTTCTTCGCGTTTTGTAGACTATCTGGGTCCAAATTCTTTCAACTCTATGCCCTATGACTTTAAAAAAAAATACTAGGGTAGTGAAATTGTAAATATTAAATATTTAACACACAAATATTTATTCTTTGAATTACACAAGGATTTGTGGTAATATAACCCAATTTTATTTCATTATTTTTTATTTATTGTACCTATACCTATAGCACATATTTTTGATTTGATTTGCATATTATGCAGTTGGAGTGACAAGTACGGAGGACACTTATGATTTAAGAAAACTTTTTTTATTACATTTGATTACAGTTAGATTAATGATGTTAGGTAATTTTTTTTTTCGACCACTTTACAAGTGTGTAAACAGTCAATTTTTTTAGCTATATTATGATTTTAAAATTAGGGGAATACTTGATTTAATTATTAGGTATGGTCAAAATATAATCAACATTAAATAAACTGCATTAGTATTTCTAATATATAATTAAAAAAAAAAAAATTATCAGAGAGCATAATATAATTCCACAAATATTAATAACTAAAATTAATATTTTGTAAGAAAAAAAAATCAACAAACATAATATTTTTACAAGTTAAACAAAATTCATTGTAGTAAGATATATATATTATAAAGAACAAAAATTGTTCAAATGAAGGATTTTAAGGGTCAACAAAAGATATCATAATGTATCTTGTTCCGTTGGTAACTTCAAGTCCTTCGTGGTAATGTGTCAGTCGGCCAGGGTGCATTAACATCCAACCTACCTTCATATCTGTGACTTTACACTTGTACCTCAAAAAATGGCATCCACCTCCCTATTTGAAAAAAAACAATAATTAATTAGAAACAACCATTCATATATATATAAATTATTATTAATACATGATAATCTTTTCCCGGGGAGTTCAAAGCTATGTTGATGGTGTAAGTAGATGAATCATGGTGAGGTCTCAACGAAGCCTGACCGAGTGGGTTGTACTTCACAACAAAGTTCATCAGAGTTTGAGGAGGCTATATAACAACATATTAATTAAAATATATTATTTATTGTAATTTATTCTATTATTAATAACACTATTAAACAATATTTTCAATTGCAATTATATTATTATATTTTGTACACAAGCAAAAAAAGCTAAAAAAAAAAAAAAAAAACCTGATACTGAAGACAAGTGCCATTGTTGTAGGTAGAAAATTGGTTAGGTAGAATCCTTAAAGTTAATTAATTTATATATGTACGCAAAGATAAACCATTGCTAACGAAAAACATATTTTGAAATGCTATACATTTTTATGGTTTTCATCAAAATTTGTTCTCAAAACATTTATGAAAAAAAAACTAATACATCAAACTCAAATTTGTTTTTTAGATCAATAAGTACGACTTATAATGCAACTTATAATGTACCTTGTATTAAATTATCAAGCATTTCTCTTAAGTCATATTATTTTAATAAAATATATCTACCAAATGAAAATACATATAAAAACAAGAAAATATTAAACATTTATAAATAGCTTAAAAATAACTAGAATGTTTTAAAAATTTGATCACTTTTCTACAAAAAGCCATATACTTATTTTTTGAAAACTACAATTGAACTTTACAATAAAGTTCAATTAAATAACAAAAAACTAAAATATGGTGCAATTTGTTGTATTTTCTAAGCTTTTTCTTAGTTTTTCATAATTACTACAGAAACTACTGTAACATAAAATTTTGATCACCTTGTATACAACTTTAAAATTTAAATCTTATTTAACATCTTAAATTTATTATTTACAATTTAAATTTCAATAGTAAATTGTTTAAATACTTGTGCTTAAATTCAAAATATTGATACGCTACAATATTTGTTAGCTAAAGCGTAGATTAAATATACTAATTACTAATTAGATATATTAGATTTAATCTATAGTTAATGTAAGCAAATAACCCACTCAAACAAATTAATTCATGGTAATATTAAATAATTTTAAAAAAAAGCAGCTTACGCCATCTGAGTAATAGCCATGATACACTCGCTCCTGTAATGGGGAAACAAAAAGCTTTAAAAACTCAAGCCACACACTCTGTAATCCAACTTGTCTCATATGAATGTCTCTCGTGGGCACAGCTTCGTATCCAGTATCCAATCTGGGATCCTAAGGTTTAACGTTATCATGCACTATTGTTAATATATTACTCTTACCAAGGTGTCTTATAAGGTGACTATATTTAAACAAAATAGAACTAATATTTAATAATTGCTATATATCATATAAAAAGGTTTTTAGTACTCTCATTTGTTTATTAGTTCCAAAAATAAAATGCAAATTTAAAAAAAAAAAATGTTATAGTACTTTATTCATTATTTATTTTAAATAGAAATAAACAGAATGAGTTGACTGTTATAAGATTCAAATAAAATCCTAAGTGAAATAAGACTAAATAAAGATATCTAATAAAAATGTATGAAGAAACAGATACAAGCTCTTAAAAAATCAAAAATAATATTTCAAAAAAGGTACATAAGAATATGGTCACCTTAATTTATTTACACACAATATAAGTAAATATTAATAGATAATATAATTAATTAATGCCAAGCAGAGAACACACACATGCTATTATATTGTTTTCGTTTTGTTTGATTTTCATTCCCACATACGTCATGATTATAACCAACAAACACAGTCTTTTGTATTGGCTGAACATATGAACGGAGAAATTCAAGCCAATGCTTCTCAAGTCCAACTTGATTCATGTGTATGTCTCTGGTGGGAACAGCTTCATAACCAGTTCGAAGGCGCGTGTCCTTCAATTTATGTCATTATCCTTTCAGATTTTATCATTTAAAAATATTATTTATTAATTTACTTACATTGTTTGAACCATCAGACCATTTACCAAAGTTTTCCATGATCTCAATAAATTCTCGACAAAACTGTTCAGTAACAATTGGAAACCAAAATACATCTGGACAAGGCTTGAATTTATATAAATAAATAAATTTATGGTTTAATCAAATATTCAGTTAAATATAAAAATAAATACCTCAGCGGGTTTATTATCGGGATTAAAATTCTCCATGTAATCTGGATGAATATATCGCTGTTCCCAGTCGTATCTATTATCAAATAGTTGAAATACCTCAGGGTTCTTAAGTGTAATGTCAAAAGTTTCCGAATCAATCAAATGACCAAAAGTATATTGGTTATCAATATACATAAATACTCCCTAAAAACAATATTGTTTTTGTATTAAATTGAAAACTTAAAAGTAAAATACACAATATACCTTTTCTCTTAATGATTTACTAAACGCCATATCATAATCTAGATTATCTTCTTTATATGATGGTCTGGTATATTTATTTTCTAAAATTGTACCTTTCATCAAGTAAACACTACAAATGTATGGTACATTCCAAATTCCTCTAAAATATTAATAAAATAAAAACGAGTCAAATAAAAATAACTATGAAAGTTTTTGTTTTTTTTTCTAAACAAAATTGTTATTACAAAATGCAGCAGGGGAATTTAATAGAATTAGCATACAAGGAAGTGCTCTCTAATTGATTATCAGCCAGGATAGGGTCAGAATTGCATCAAATATAATACATAATATAACACATAGTTAGTTTTCATTGTAGTCAACAATATAGTGTCGTGCCAAATACAAGAGGAGACTCATTCAATTCGAGTACATACTAAAGTCAATAGCAGTTCAATAAAAGTAATAAAACAATTCAATCTTTTTTGAAATCAGTTTATTAAACAACTTTTATAAATAAAGATAAGTTTCATTTTGAAAAAAAAATTAATTTTATTAAAATTATTTTTTTTTTTAACTAATAGCTATTTTATGCCAAAATATTATTAATTTCCAATATGATTTCAGATTGAATGTAAAATGGATTTAAAGAATATATTAGTAGAGGCACTTATCATAACAATACTGTTCACCATTATTACAGATGTATATGGAAAACGTGGACGGGGTAGAAATAGATCAAAAAGTAGAGTGCAAATTGGATTGCCAATAACAGGCAAATACAGAGACCCCGAATCTGACCAATACTACAACCATAATGATGTAAAGACGTTTTTTCCTCATATAGTTATTTTCATAATTAATAAACATATACTTTATTTCAGGGAGCTAAAATACTCATGGCATCACATTTTGATTATGAATATGTACTTGGACATAAAATAGTATTTGTTTGTGTAGCCAGGGGAAATCCAAGACCTCAAATCACTTGGTTTAAAGACGGCACTGAATTATACTACCATTACAATCACCATGTAAGTATAATATTTTGTATAATTACTAGATAGACTCCAGTATTATTAGTTCTAATATTGATATGAAATTAAATTAAAATGTATTTTAGATTCTGGGGAGCGAGGAATGTATTGGTTATACAGAGATGTTTATTATTTTTTTTTTTAGGTGAACATTTTTATTCCAGAAAGCTTAATCAGATTATTAAATATAGCACCTTTTCTAAAAGAAAATGTTCTCTGGATGGAACTTTAAAGAGGTCATTTTTTGAAATTCTCTTTAATATTCGAGATAATGAGGAAATCCTGGTTCTTTAGGTTAAAATAGATTGAAAGATAAAAATGATTTTATCATTAGCAACCATTTTTATTTATTTTTTGTTATTATTTAGTTTTTATTAAAATAATCTGTTTTAAATAATTATTCTTCTCATGGAATTGCACATTATTATAATTATTTTACAACAACAATGACAATGACATGAATATTGTTAACAAAGCAACAATATTAATTGAACTCCGCTCAGAATCTTTTTTTTTTCGTTAGCAATAGTTTATCATTGCTTACAAATATACATTATATTCCTGTCTCTATTCTACTCTCCCAACTTCCCACCTACAACAGTGGCTGCACCCACTTGCAAAATATGTCCGTCCCTTTTTTATATAATACAAAAAAAAATTAATTGTGTACTTTAAAAACATTATGAATAATTTAATCATTGCATTTTATGTGACAATAAATTTTAGCTCTATAATAAATAATGTAAACCATATTAATTGATGCCTAAACTGTAAACTGAAGAAAATTGTATTGTTTTTTTATTTAAGGTCCATGAGTGGAATATCGGTGAAAATAGCATTAAATCTAAATTAGAAATTGATCCAGGAACACAAATGGATGCAGGTGTTTATGAATGTTCAGCGGACAATAAGTACAGTATAGACAGAAGAAGTTTCAAGACAGATTTCAGTATAGCATTTGAATCGTAAATGCAGAAGTAGCAATTTATGAGAAGAACACAAATAAAATTTAATTTCATTACCTAATTAATACTTACGTTTTGTTATAATTGACAATGTCCATGTAATCAAATGATCGTGCATAGAATCCGTCTTTAGACAATGCACCCCAAAAATTAGACCATGCTTTAAATGGACGGGTAAGCATTGGGGCGATAATTTTCCTTTAAGTCAAATAAATAAAATGTAACTGTTCATCATAAAATGTATACTTATCATTACTTACTTATTGTCTTCAATTAATGTTTTCAATGTTTGAGGATTGTCTAAATGTGCTTCACTTTCAATGTAAAACAAATAGTCGCACAATTTGCTAGAACACAATGAACTACAAAGAATAATAATAAAATTAGCCAAAACTTTTTTCAAAATAAATAATAGAAATAAGGTATATTATAATATAAAGCATTTACAAAGTAAAATGACGGGCGTGTATATTTTCATCTGTAGTTTTATGGAACACAAATGTTGCATTGTACTTATCACCTACTCTAGAGATAAATTTTTTCACATGGTCTTTATGGTAGTCTACCTAAAAATTAAAAATGTATACATTTAAAATTTGAAGTGAACATAAGTTTAAATTTTAAATATTTATAAAAATTTTATAAAAATATTAAATATTTACAAGGGTGGTAATAGACAAAAAAAGTCTACTCTTGGGATAGTCAATATTTTCAATTTTTTCTAAAAATTCATCAAAAAATGGAGTAGGTTTATCAACAAACACAGATATCAACACTGTTGGATAATCGTCCTTCTGCAAAATATAAAAATTAAAGAATTGTAAACAGTTAACATAATAATGATAAGGTATTTAATTTTATAGACATTACTTTATATGCTGAAAGATTTATAGTATTGTCTTGGCATGTATTACATCCAATTTCAGGAGACCACTTATTTGGTATATAATTTGTGTAACTATTTAAAGTTAATTTAGATAATCCATTCCCATGGACTACAGCTGGATGAGTATTAAAATGAATATTTTCTAATATATATGATTTATTTACAAGTCTTAACCGCACATCATCTGTAAATATACAACATTTTTTTTTAGTTTAACAAACAAATTTAAAAAAAAAAAACTAAAATAATCTAACCTTCAGCAAGGTATAGACTTTGAAATAAGCTGGCATAGCTGTCCAATTTAATTTTAAGTTTTTCGCGTAAATCAGTATTCAAATACAAATTTGTTAAATGCAATTGATCATCACCAAGATCTTTTATAGTCTTCTCTGATAGCAGCTTGTACAATTGACTTGCATATCCAATCACACCTATTTAAATAAAAATAATATGTGTACCATTTAATAGATATTTAGTTTTAGTCAATTGTTGATTTAAAATTAATTATTATCCACAAACCTCCAGAGTTTATAAATCTATAACCATCCAAGTCAACAATAGGATAACGGTCGACCAAATTTTTATCTGGCCAGCAGCTTCTTTCAGTTGAAACTACAATTGAAGCATCAAATTCTGTAAATTTTTTTAATATTATACTGCTATTGGCTAACAATACCACATCATATCTAAAAAATTATATTAATTACATATTAAACCAATAAACAAAATGTTTTAAAATCAATAATTTATTACGCGTCAGTGAGTAATACAACTAAATCAACATGTTTCTTGTAAGGTTCTAATGCTTCAAGATACAAATTCAATTTATAGCCACCGCCAACACTTTTCATATTGCCTCCTTGCCATGGTTTGTCCAATCCAAGCACCTAAGTAAAATTCTATGTGTGTTAAAAAAAACTAGGACTATTATAGCTTACAAATAAAATTTTTATTAGCATGCAATTACTTTAGTTTTAAGTCCATTCAAGTTGGCCGAGTCAATAAATCTTTTATAACCATCCGTTTTATCAGAAGCAACTGTGAGTACAAGCAATTCTGAAAATAAATATTATAATAATTATTAATTTTTATAATTGAATATTTATCTCTAGAAAATTAGGTTTGAAATATAATCTAATATCTATAATTTCAAATTATAAATGTTCACAAATTTCATTAAATTACTTAAGCTATAGGTATAATATAATTTAGTATAATAATTTATTAAAAATAAATGTTTATTACTGATAAAAGTATAAATACAGTAATTTCTATTGATACCTACTACCCACTAATATTGTGGTATATTTAGTATAATTTCACCAAGCTCAGGCTTAAGTTCTTGTTCGAGATTCACCAAAATGTTTGGTAGATTTTTGGTAGTTAACATCCCTATTTTTTTCGAAAAGTTGTGTACAAGCTGAATACAATGGTACAATAAGAAATTGTAGGACACTTAGGTACTTTCAAAGTTATAAAACTTTAAAGTTGGTGCAACGGCACTCAAGTAAGTAAACAAGCTATCTTCTACATCCAGAATTGTTTGTTTTACATATTATTTACTTATATATAATAATGACAATAATAGCTTCTAAAATAATAGTTTCTGATAAATCCTAATTGTATTCAGTAGAGCTGAGATTTATATGTAAATACATATTTTTATTAAAACGTGATCAATTAATTATGATAAATGATAAATTTGTTTTGCAATAAAATAAGACATATTTTTATATATTTCGTCAAATACATATTTTCACATTATTTGTAAATTGCATTAATAATACTAAAAAAATAAAATAATTTGTCAATTTACTTCATCAAAATTGGTGGTTTAGTAGTATTATAATATATTAATATGTTATACAGCAATTATATAGGTAGTTGTCAAAATTTTAAGTATAATGTGTATATTAGATATATCACATTTATTGTTCATATCGTCATCCTTCTGGATCTGCCCTTGTTTACAACAAAGACAGTACTTGCATACTTCATACCATATGAACCGATAACATTTTGTGATGTGGAATGTTCATTTAATGGATATAAGTCAGTGTTAAAACTAAATCGTCAAAGTCTGGTCTACCATTGTTTTACTTTGAAATGATTAAAAATTAAAAACAATAAATTATTGTATTTTGTGAACATTTAAAAAAAGTTAATTTAATTCAATCATATTATATCAATAATTATTAATTATATTATTTCACTACCAATATTTTATTTTTATTACATATTTTGGCCATTTTAATTATATATATATATGTGTGTGTGTACATATTTTGGTTTTATATTATGAATAAATCCCAGCCTTAGTATTTAACATTAAAAACCCCAGTTTTTCCAAAAATTTTGTTTTTTGCCGTAATTTCTATAAAAATAGTATTCCCCAAAAAATTCAAATCTTTTCACAATCATCACCAAAAAACATAACTCGAGAAGAAAAAGATGAATCGTTAAGTCTTAGAACCATTAAGTATAACTAAGTCGCATCAGAGCCATTATGTAAACATATAAGCTGGCATACATATTATATACTATTTTGCTTGTAAGTTTTTGTTTGTTTTGTTTGGAGGAATAAAATATTGTATTTTAAAATTGAGGTACTTCCTAATGAAATAGAGAGAAAAAACTTGCAGGATAGATATAAATTGAATGGCAATACAATATGTCTATTATATTTGTCAAACAAATTTTTTTCAAAAACTAACAATATAATAATAATAATAATAATATATTTATAATATTATTAAATATTATTTGGATATCTCTATACAAAGAATTACTTTTTATACACTTCATCAAGGTGTCTATGACAGAATACCTACCTATATATTTTATTTTTTGATACATATACTTGAGTAGGTATATTTGAAAGTACATTTAACACTTCGTTTGAGTTCATCCTATATTATTTTTGATCTTAAAATATTTATAAATATATAAACATTATTATTGAATTTATGCTTTTTTTTAAAAAAAAAATACTTCAATATATCCAGACCCAGATTCCAGATTGACTATAATATAGAACAAAGCGCATAAAAAACTAGAAATCTAACACTCACAGAGTATCAAATAGTGTATATTCTATGATGTTTATTATAAAAATATACTTTTATAGATAACTATAAAAGTATATTGTGTTATGATTTAAAATAAAAATTAAGCAGTAAGATGATAAATATGTTTATTTTACTTTAACTGATAATTATTTTATTAGTTATATAATTTAAACAAAATATAAAATGGTTAGATAAAAATTTCATAAACACATAAGTGAAATTAACAAAATATCCATGTTAACATGTATAAAGAAGAATTGAATGACATTTCCGACTGACCCGCAAAAAAAATGAATGATAAAACACTAACAGGAAGCATAAATAAATAGTTCATTTTATAAAGATAACAAATAAATACTTATAAAAGATTATATAGAAATGTTTTAATTAAATTATAATGTCAGATAATATAATATTTGGTTGTACATTTAGAACTATAAATTATCAATATAAATATATTAGTTCTAAGAATTACATACACATTAATTCCATGATTACATATATTATACATGTGTTTATATTATGTATACATATATTTAGTTATAAATAGATATCTTTATAAAATATTGATAAACATATTTTGTTTTAAAATGATATTTAGGTACAATGTTAAAAGCCAAATATTTAATACCTAGGTATTAAAACTTTTTGAAATTGATCAATATTTAAAAATAGTACCTATTTAGAAAAAATAATAAATTGAGGAATATCATACATATTGTATTGTATTAAGGAACTTAGTTTTTTATATATAATTACAATGTATTTTGTTAAGTAAATACAATAAAATATTCCTAGATACCTACTAAAATATTATGGCTTAAGTGCTGAATGTATTATAATACCATTCTACTCGGTAGGTACCATTTAAAATAATTTGTATTTCTTTTATGGGAGGTTGTGTTTAATTCAATAATAGGCATAGGTACAAATTTAAAATAAAATAAATTTTAAAAAATATTGTCATAATTAAACTAATAGAAAATAAGTTAGTAAAGCTCACTCTATGAATGAGCTAAGTTTCTGATTTCTAAACTTATTTTAAACAATAAACTAGAGTTCCATAAATAATTTCGAAAATCTTAATTTGTAAATAGTAGACAGGATATTTTTAAATTCTTTAAGTACCTACTACTTATATTTTTAATATTGACTAGTATGAATGTATATCTAATACTCATATTTAAATTAGTAATAATAATATTACAAATAATATATATCTCCTTGTCAACCAAATCAACAACTGTAACTATGTGTGCTATGGGAGGACATGCTCAATGGGGATACGTCTAAAAACTTATGTTTAGAGCTTAAGAAACTTTAACATGATTATAAAATTGAAATCGTATACCAACATTTTATAATATTATATTTATTTAGGTAAATACCTACTATAGGTTTCAATTGAAACACAGATAGTACTTAGATATAGACAACTCAAAAAACTAGTAATTATTTTTTGATTTTCTCAAAATATATTGATAAATTAAAGAAAAAATAATAGATGGGTTTTACGTGGTAGAATAATTGTTTTTACAGTAGGTAAGTACTAGATATTAAATGTAAAAACACTGTCAAGTATTTATAAATAGGCATTTTTCAAAAGTATATATATTTAACAAGATATTTATTATACTTAGAGAAGTATAGGTACTATTATAATTATTATTTAATTATTCATTATCACGTCAAAAACATTACATTAATAAGTTAATATGTAGGTAAAAGAATTTTGGATTATGATGTTCTAAAATGCAAGCTTGTGGTAGGATACAATGTATAAGGTATTATTAAGGTAAAGTCTAAGGTGTTGTTTGTGGTACTGAGAAAAATCGGAAAAATTGGACAATCTACACTATTACACAGTTGTGATCTTTGTTCTCGAGAACTAGAAAAAATAGTCTCGAAAAATAATTATAAATTCATAAACTTATTGAAGAAATGGACTAAATTCTCATAACATAATCTATATAATTCAGGTTTGATATCATAACGTACCTATACAAAATAATAATGAAAAAGAAACTAAATGACAATACCTACGTTTTTTATTGGATGAGAACAACATTAAATTATTTGTATTTGGAGCTTATTTGTTTTCAATTTTTTAATCCTATCAAAAAATATACAATCAGATTTTATTAAAATTCTTGAAATCATTAGTATTGTAGCGTGCTGTTTACCAAAATCTTTCGATTATACCTATACGATTGTACTTATACTCAACTACCTATGTAATCTAAATACATTTATAAATAATATAAACTGTATTTGTTCTCAGAGAACTCACTTAAAAATATATTTTACAAGTTATAATAGTATATTTAAATAAATAACATTTATAATGGATTGGTACACAGTTTTCATCAATAACCGTTGTTGTCTGTAGTTTAATTATTATTAATTCAAATAGGTATAAACTATTTAAACAACATAACTTCATATAATTTATCTACAGGCCTACTCCTTGGCTGTTAGCATAAATGCAAAGTATACTACTTACACTGGTATTAAGCGACTAAACAAGCAGATAAACAAATAAGTTACTATAAAGAGATATAATATTTGGTACAGAGTCTACTGGAGAAAAACTAGACACTTAAAATTACATAGATATTCGGGTAGATAACTATAATTATATAATAAACAGAGAAAAAATAAACTTGGAACCTATGTTCTAAAATACATAGGTATACATTTTCGACAGAGGGAGTATCATATTTACAACGCTAGTGTTTATTTTCGTATAGGATTTTTAAAAATAACACAATATTTGAAGCCATAATAACTCGGTAACATTATTATACTTACTAAGATCGTCTCTGGCAGTGGGTCTCACTTCACTCTCAGCAAACGCTAAATCCGACGTTAAAAACAGGCATAATATAGCTATACCAACGACTGAGATTTTCATACTTGATTTTGTTTTATTTCTACGACTAGTTTATATTTGATTAACAACTATATTGTTAAACACACATTGTGTGGTTTAAAATGAACCTCACCCGATGGCACTACGTTATACCCTTAGAGTATCGTAGAAATTAATTAAATTCAACGTATTACATTGACTGACGACAATAATAATATTAATATTAATAATAGTAATAAACACACACACGAGCGATAAACAAACGCGATACGGCACTGACGGTCCCGGTTGTCGGTCACAGTCACTATGGTGGTCGGCCAATACCAATTTTCTAACTGGAAGACCCATGCGCGCCGGACAAAAACAAGTGTGATTATCGCCATCTAGCGGATAACACACATAACAAAGTATTTCATTATACCTAATACCTAAATATTATCAATGCTATTATGGAAGTAGGTAGGTACCTACCAAATAGCGATCTATTATGGAAGTAGGTAGGTACCTACCAAACAGCGATCTATAAAAGTGAACAAGAGCATAGTGAAGTAACTTATACTTTTAAAGGGGAAGCTACTACTAAAGTACCTATCAATGGCTTTTTAAAATTGTTTTAGATTATGAACGTTAGGAAGAATATAATGTAGATATTTGTTTTCTATGATGTGTGATTTTTTTCTATTTTTTTTTTTTAGTTGTTATTTAGATAAAATATCACAGAGACCTTTAACTTTCACCAAATAGGTACCTGCTTATATATTAGCACTTTCTAAACATGGTACAACCTTTAAAATATTCTGCGTTTTTTGAGTTATTTTTATGGCAATTTCAAGTTTTGATACACATGTGAATTAAGTGTTTCAGCACCTTAAAAATGCTCAAAAACCTAAAAGAGCACTGCTTGAAGTTGTTTTAAAAGTTAATTTCTTTATTATACACATGGAAGTATAGAAATTTTAATATAAAATTTACAAAAAAAAAAAAATAATATTTGTATAGAGACTAGAAGGCTAATCAGTTTTTATTGATTATATTTAATCAATGCTAGAAGGTGGTAACAATAATGTAAAAAAAGTGCTGATACTGAGGTCGGGTGCGGCCACTGTTGTAGGTGGGTAGTTGGGAAGGTGGGATTATTAAGTTACTTGATTTATATTTGTGAGCAACGATAAACCATTGCTAACGAAACTTCGGAACGAAGTTCGGTTATACATGTATTGAAACGTCGTAATAACTATTTACAATTTTTGTCAAAATTTTATTTTAAAAACCATATAAAAAAAATAAATAAAATACTACAATACACTCAATTTTTTTTTAATCACCAAGTTAAATTTATAATTAACTTGCTATCAAATTTGTAAGCATTTTTGTTTTACTCTGAACATTTTACCACAGAGTACCTACCAAATAAAAATTACGTAGAAAACTCACAAAATTAAAATGTCTATAAATAGCTCAAAAATGACTCAAATGTTTTGAATATTTTACCACGTCTAAAAAAGGCAAATATAAGTTTTCTTTCAATGTTATTCAAATTATTTACAAATATTTTTAACTGAATCAAATTAAAAAAGCTGTCCTAGGATAACAGGAATGGGTGCAGCCACTGTTATAGGTAATTTAATGTATATCTGTGAGCAACAATAAACTATTGCTAACGAAAAAACAATTCTTTAATAATATTCGTTTAATGTACTGATTTTCCCATTTTTTCCCGGTTTTTCAAATTTGTTGGGTAGACTTTTGAGAAAATCGAAAAATGAACTCCTTAAAGTGTCTCCATAGTCCGATTTTCTTTTTGAAAAAGTACTACACTAAAAAATTTTCGTTTTTTCCGGTTTTTCCCAATTATTATGAAAAACCGCTTAGAAAATCAAAAATGACATTCTTTAATTACCGAGTAGATAAAATTATTTCCTTCGAAAAAAGTACTACACTTGAAAATCGTGATTCTTATCGAGATTATTGTGTACAATCTTTTTGGGAAAGACAGTGCTGTTAGGAAGGTACTTATAGACATGTAAATTTCAACTACACGTTATTACGAGGGCGGGGGGATATGAGGGTTTGACCCACCATGAGCTGCATGTATATAATATATTGTTGTCATATAAAAATTAAAAGTTCAAAAACAAATTTATAAATTACAGGCCCGGATGGAACTGGCGAACTATACCGATAAAATCTCGTTGGCTAGTTTTTAAATGAATTTTTTCCAATTTGATCTATTTCATATAATTTTGGGCTGGTGAAAATCCTAAAACTTCGTGGACATTCCCCATTTGGCGCTTACATTTTCAATGTTTAATTATATTAGTATATTGTAAGTTTATTATTATATACTCTGTACTCGATACTCCAAAAACATAATGTAATAATAAATATGTGACTTGAAGACCACTGGTTATTTGTTGTAAATTTGGTATGTACAAATACTCATCATCGCACATTCCATTAATTTTTGGGCCTTGTCTTCGTGTATGTACACACAGTCACACTACACAGTAATTACTAATTAACAGTTATGGTACACTTACCTATGGTTTGTGTTTAATATTTTGTACGCTAAGACACAAAATGAAATCTAAAAAAAAATACTGACATACTTTGTACGGTGGTTGAGTCACTGTTTTAGGCGAAAAGTTGGTAAGTTAAAGGGGAAATGTAATGTATATCTGTACGTATAACTATAGTTAATCACACTAATCATATTATTTGATTTAAAATTATGCATAAATACTTTTGTTTAATGACAATTATCATAAATAATCTGTATAATACAGATACGATTTTACATTTACATAAGTTAACTTACATAAATAATATAAAATATAAACTTTACTAATATTAATATATGGGATTATAAATATATATAGAATGATATTATAAATCAATATACTGACCAAATAAAATCACGTGTAAATGAACGATAACAAATGAACGAAAATTAATTTTAATGTTTAAAATCATAATACTTGTTGAAAAAAAGAAAAGAAAAGTGTAATGATTATAACGAATAAGACTTTAATAAGTACACTAAACTGTCCGTCAATAGGTACAGTGGTAAAATGGAAAGATTTATGTACATTTTATTTTTCTTGTAACTAAAGTGGAGACAATCTACTACTCCACTATAGAGAGGATGGAAAGCGTGACAAATATAAATGATGAAACATCGAAATGAACGTTGTTTTCATTGAACCGTGCTATTAATTTCCCGTTATTTTTCTAAAAATCCTCTGATTGGTTTTAAATGAATACAATGTTAGTGTTAGGGAGTGTATATTTTATACATTATTTATATATCTATTTAACATGCGTATATTATAATATAATGTTAAGCAATCGTATAACTAATTTCACTATGTATAAGCGTATAATTTCTAAATTTAAACCCAAACTCGTACGTTCATATCCCAGGAACTAGTGACCACAGACATACCGTTTGGCGATACACTCAGAGAAGTCACTCTGTTCTCGTGTCCGCTTAAAGTACCTATACAAACGTTATAAATAATACGTTAAAATAATTTTACATATTGAGCATAGTAGTAACATAATATTTGAGGAGTGGAGTGGAGAGTTGCACTTGGGTTTAATATTATGTATAGAGTATGGATAGTATAGTATGATAATGGGCAAAGTGGTGATGGGTTAAAAAGACGTGATGCCCGCATTTACTGTCTCAGTCAGTTCCACTAACGGGCAACATAGCAAAACTACATAACTTAGAATTAAGGAATTTAGTTTGAAATTACTGTACAAGTAATACAAAATACATGTAGTAAACTACACAAGTAATACAATTAAAAGAAGATAATGTGTTACTTCTAAGAATTCAAATTAGGTATTAAAAATAGGAACATACTTCACACGATGGGTGAGAAATTAAATCAAAAAGGCAATGAAAAAGGTATCTTGTGATTTTTCAAATTAAATCATTTTTTTCTGGTAGAAAACGTCGTCCGTGTTTTTATAAAATAATAAAATCGTGAAATTGTACGTTTTCTTACGTTTTTCCCACTTAAGTCCTTTATTTAAAAAATGGTGTCGAAAATCAAAAAATTACGTCTTTAAAGTACAATCTAGACAATTTGGGCTTTCAGAAAAAATTGGACACGTAAAAATCGGAGCAAGTTTACTAAAATAAAACGTGCCCGCAGACTAAAAAAAAAAAAAAAATAGCTCCCCTCCCTACGCTCGAAATCTAAAAAATACTATATTAACTCAATTTTTTTTTTAACCACAATGTACGACTTTTAATGAACCTCTGTTAAATTTGCATGCATTTCTGTCAAGTTTAACAATATAATACACAGAGTACTCATCAAATAGAAATTATGTACAAAACTCACAAAATTAAAACTCATAAAATGTCTATAAATAGTTCAAAAATGGCACAAATGTTTTGAAAATTTAACCACTTCTAGAAAAAGATAATATAAGTTTTTAGTCCTGTAATTTCCTGAATTTAGGACGAAGTAGGTGAGATGTTTAAGTGTTTAGTATGCCTTTCTTACAGTAAAACGATTGATTTGAGAAGGGCGTGTAACTTATAGCATTAAGTTTGGTTGTATGAATGGAATAAGGAAGTTAGGGAGGTAGGTATAGTATGATAAGAGGATTCCAATTTAGCTGAAAAATGAATTTTACAAAACCGATTATTGGACGAATGAATTCACTAGAGAGAATAGTACCCATAATATATAAGCATTGTATCGATAGTCGATAAGACGAGGTAGAATGTACTATGAACTTATAAGAATTGGATATGAGAACTTTTAAGTCAAAAGCTGTAAAAGTAGTTTAATAAAGTAATTTGGATGGTAAAATAAAGACCGAAAAGGAGATGGTTATTACCATGGTTGAGGATAATATGGAAATTTAGAACCTAGGTTGCTGAATCCAAATATTTGGGAAAAGGGCGAATATGTGTATGTAATATTAAATCACCGTTGTGTTGAACTTTCATCGTGTCCCATACGTGAATCGAGTTGTCGTCGCTACCGGCCAACAGAAATCTACCGGACACCGACAAACCGCATGATGTAAACCCCGACGTGGTATTTGGAGGTTTGTACATGGCAATCTGTTGATCGGATCTGATGTCGTACTGACGCGCAGACTTGTCTTCCGAAGCCGTCACAAACCCATAGCCACTGTTGTGAAACTTTAACCAATAAACAGATTAGGTATAAATTATATTATTGTTTTGTTCTCTTTTTTTTATTATTTTTTTTTTATTAACCATTGGTAGATGTACCCAGCTAGATATAGAAAGTACCTATGTCTAAATGTTTTAATATATGGTAAGTATAATACCTTCAATAAATATAAATTGTTGGTAAAACCTGCATGCATAGATAATATTATTATTATCTAAGAAACTAAGAACCATAATGGAAATTAAATAAAATTCTTTAATATTATATAAACTTGACACACCTTTGATCTTTAATATGAAATTGATGAATTCAAGGCGAGTTCAAAATATTATTTTAACCCGTCTTGAAAATTCAAAATCTGGGCTTGGTAATTTCGACAATAAATTTTAGTGAATACCACAGAAATTCTACGCTAAATTTATTTAAAATCAGGTATATTATTATTTATTGTTCAAGTTCTACTTATAAAATTATTGACCGATTATAGGTACTTATATTTAAAAATAAAATGTATGCCGATCAATTTCCCTTACTCAGTTACAAATTTTTTTTCCTTGTCGATAGTTATGTATTACTGTATTAAGTATACTATAAAAAAATTATTATAATATTTTGTACCATATAGTAGTATTTGTTCTGTTGTGCTATAGTGTGTTAGGTTAAAGGCTAACTCAGTAACTTATTGATTATTATTGATAGTAAATGTTGCACAATTTAGACTCATTCAGCTTTTGTGAGATGGCAAAAAGCAAGTCATAATTACCTCACGTACCTACCTATATCAAACACCTAATAGTAATACATATAAATATGTTATAGGTACAAGAGTAATATAAAAATATGTTCTATCGGTGTAAATGTTTATTATTTATGGAAAAATATGTAGGTACATAGGTATCTATTAGTTCACAGTAAAATTATGGAAACAACACATTCAAAATTATCTACTTCAAGCAGTGAGACATGTCTCTAAAATGTATGCAAACAAAAAAAAAATAATAAAAATCAGTGAATATTCTTATATTCTATTTCAATATAAGTGTATTAGCATCTTAAAATGAGCTAAAATTATATGAAGTTCGTTTTCTGCAGTGTGTCTGTTATTTTATTAACCGACAAGGAAATAAGTACTTAATGTATGATGAGCTTAACTACTCTACATTAATAAACATTATCATAACGAAAAAAATAAATCGTACATATATAATTATTACATGATCAAAATATTGCCAATGACTTCAATTAATATTAATACATATATACGATCGAGAGGAGGGGAGGGAAGGGGTAAGTAGTTGACAAACAATAATAAACCGCAGAATGGTCTCTAAATTACCATTAAGCGCACACAGTGAATCATAAGAAATTCGAAATATATTCAGTCGGATATTTGGTAAACTATATAACTTGTTTTTCGCATCATCAGTTTTAATTGTTTACCCTTTCTCCGTTGTACCTAAACCAACCATTAACGTGATAAACTAATTTTAATTGGCAACCTTATTTTAAATAATTGCTGGACTTTTATCTACCGTTAAAATATATAATACCTACCTAGTTTATATAATAGGCATTCGTATGTAGATAAGATTTTTTCTCTGTATGTTAATATTTTTTTTCTATAGATAATTATTTGAATACGATTTTTTTAATAGCTTTCCCGTTCGCATTATTGAACGAAAATATAAAAATACGAGCTGAAGTGGAATTGTAGGTGTGAAGTTAGATAGGCATTTAGTATAAAATATATCTTTATATTTATGTTTAAGTTATACCTACCATATATGTACGTAACATCATTAGCAATATCATTGCTAATGAAAACCGATTCTTAGCAAAGTTAAGTTAAACTTGTTTTTTGGAATGCTATGATTTCTACGATTTTCGTCGAAATTTGAAATTAAATCGCTTTTAAAAAAAACTTCTGTATTACATTTAAAATTTATTTTTTCAAATATTAAAGTAAACTTTTAATGAACCTAGAGTTTAATTTTTGAGCATTTTTACTGGATCCAAACAATTTTTTATTTTACACGTGGGTGCAATCATTGTTGAAGGTGGGAAGTAAAGAAGGTACGATACAGATTAAAATTGAATGTATATCTGTAAGTAATGATAAACCATTGCTAACGATAAACGATTCTGAGCGGAGTTCAGTTGATAGTGTTGCTTTATCAACAATATTTATGTCATATTATGGTAAAATGATTACAGCAATGTACGTTTCCATGACAAAAATTATTATTTAAAAAAAGATTTAAAATGATAAAAACTTAATAATAACAAAAAATAAAAAAAAAAACGGTCCCCAATGACAACCTTATTTTTAATCTTTCAATCTTTTTTAACCTATAGAACCAGGTTTTCCTCATTATCTCGAATATTAATAATAATTTAAAAAATGACCGTTTTATAGTACCACCCTATAGTGTTCAAATAAAAAAAAAAAAAAAAAAATCATTGTAAAACCAATACATTCCTCGCTCCGCTCAGAATCTAAAACAAAAAATTAAAAATATTGGTACAAAATCAGCGGAATTTTTTGAAAATTCTACCACGTCAATGGAAAATACTAACAAAAGTATTTGGTGAAAATTTGACGTCACTATGATTATTATAACAACAAAAACATAATTGAAAAGAAAATGGAATGCAAAGTTTTTGAAAATAAAAACCTTGTACCGAAAAATGAATACCTATATAAACTCAATTTGAAAAGTACCTATATATAAATTGTCTTACAAAGATATGATCTTTGTGATATCATGGAAAGTAAAAAACTTTTTCATACTTTTTTTAAATTTAGAATTAGAAACAAGTAGCTAAAAATGTAACGTTATTATTAATTTTGGTCCACTCTTATGATTTTGTGTAGGCGGAGAATCGTGGAGCATTATTCGTGTAGCGGTACAGTGCGTGGCTTTTTACTAGTGCTCTGTTACTAGGTTGCCATTTGAAAATCAAAAGTTGGAAGGTTATTTTTTTGTTTTGTGTGACGATTTGTTTCATTAAATTTTACGATTTTACAATAAATACTTTTGATAGTGATACAGATCAATTTTAAATTAACTTTGAATAGATAAATATTAATTATTCTAAAAATGTCATCATAATTGCTTATACGCAATCCCTTAAATATTGGAATTTTTGATAGGAATGCGAAATTCTTTGAGTGTACCAAATACCTAATTAAATAAGACTACGAAGAATATTGTCTCTAGAACAAAAATGTCATCTGGCCAAGGAATAAAATAATTCAACTTCGGTCATACGGTTTTTAGTTTCCATATGGCTAGGATATTATATAAATTTCGATTTTTGGTCAAACCCAATATTTGAAAGAAGGTCAACGAACCATTTCTCCCGCTTCTATTAATCGTTTTTGTGTATGTGGTCGTGCTTTGTTGATTAATTTTACGTTTCAACTACTGCCTATACATGTATACAGAATGATCCACACAATGTAAAAAATTCATTACCACGGAAAGTATTACATTTGTTTTTTAGATCATTTAAGAAACAAGTAGCTCTAAAATGTTGCATTTCGGTTATATTTTGTCGTTTTTATTTTAAGGAGTGAGACACTACAACCTACTTTTGATTTTCAAATAACAATCAACATTAAAAAAACAAATGGAGTATTAGTTTAAATAAATTTCGGTGTTGAAATTTCTGATTATCGTCAACCTGTTAACGAGGTATTCCACTATTAAGTTGGGAAGGGGTAGAGTGGTGAAACATTATTAAAACTACCCACAACGTGTTGTCACACAAATGATATACTTGTACTATCCTCTCGCGGAAACCTAAAAGTTTTTTTTATCATATGGTTAAAGACATAATACTTAAGTAAATTGTTCAAAATTGTTCAAAATACAATCAAATTTTTTTAAATTTCTATTTTAACATATTCTATTAAAAAACCTAAAGAATTATAATCTGTTTTCATAATTGAAATCCGTCAAACGTAATTCCTACACTTTTGTCTGGCTTTTAGGTCTATATTGACTAAAATATATACTGTCACCAATCCCCTGTGTATGATCGATTCTAAGGAGAAAAAATTATTAATTCAAGAGCCTTAACCTCTTCAAAATATGTACCAATTAAAAAAGATACAGATATAATAAGTAACTTTCAACAGGTGGCAGGTATAGGAATGTGTATCTACTGTAATGAAAAAAAAATCCCTTACACAAACTGAATTCACGTCAGCCTCGTGTCCGAAGAACATTTGCTTGCATTTCAACTCTTTGAGATCCCAAAGTTTACAAGTCTTGTCTACGCTACCGGTTACGAAAGTAGCTTGATCCGGTGCTAACGACAAAGAAACAACATCACCGCAGTGTGCGGCCGCCACTTCGTTTGTTCTTTTGCCGGCTTCTAAGTCCCACATGCAACTATATTAATACAAGTATGAAATTATAACGACGAACATAGTAATATAAATATGTATTTACGTTGGTAATAAATTCAGGTTAAATAAGAATGCATAGATGATAGATAGATGGTACCTGGATATGTTGGTAGTAATATTATATTCTCTAATTTTTAGAGACCCTCCGAACTTCTCGGCTTATAAAAATCCTACCTATAGTAGATATACCGCTATTTGGGTATACCTTAGTGAATAGGTACTAAATATATTTTTCTCATTTAAAATACGTGTTAAAATTAACTGATTAATTATTAAAAATGTGTAAACATTTATAGTTTGTTAATAAAATGTTTTTTTTTTTTTGGGTGAAAAAAATCGTATTCCAGTGTTTACTCAAGTCATTTTAACGATATTTATCAATTAGCGATATAGTCAATATTTAAGATTTTTTAGTTGGCATCATTAACTTAAGATTAGAACAATAATAATAACAATGGATTGTTGTATAATGATAGGTATGTGAGATATGACAGGTGATGGATGATCGGAGATAGACATCAATTAATAATTTCTAGGTAATACTATTAATTATAAATATTCAAATTAATAATTACAGTTTCATGTCTCCGGATCCGGTGATCAATGTTTTATCGTCAACAAACCGACACGAAGACAAAAAGCCCTCGTATCCCAATAATTCACGTACCATTTTCGCTCCTCCATTGGAATCGCGATTATTCAGATCGTAAATAGTACACATATTGTCCATTCCTCCGCAAGCTAAAATGCAATTAGAAAAAAATATTAATTTAAAAAACAATAATGAACTAGTTCTTCTAAGTGAACGAAAAACGAACAAACTGGTTAACAAACTAGTGAACTATATATTTTTCATGTAACTGTAATAAAAGAAATAGGATTTTACAACTTAAAAAATAGCGTCCCTTGCAATTATTGAACTCAAACTAACCCGTGGGTAGTTTTGTCCTGTACTTTCCTCCCAATACGAACATTGATTGCCTAAGAAAAACCATTCTGAGCAGATAATTATTAATCATATTTTTTACTTGATGCAGGTATAACACAAAAATTATTAAAACAATTACTAGGTTCTTCTCAATTATTTAGAAAACTACTAAGAAAAATTATAATATTACTCCCGCAATGCATCAACTAGATCAATAATGATACAAGAAAGTTACTACAAAGATATTGATTGGAGCAATATTTCTACCTACAAAGGTACCTATAAAAGTACTGTTAAAAAAAAACATAATAAAGTCAACGCATTCCTTGCTTAGCTTAGAATCTAAAAGTAATTTTTTACTTATATGTATCTAGTGACTTTTGTTACTTTTTTTCTTTGAGTAGGCACCTAAATTATATTCTTGTGTATTAATAAGACATTGTAGGTACTTATCTATACCAAATTACTATAACTATAGGTATAACTATGACTTAATCAGTCAAATAGGCGGTATTCAAATTGAGTAACTCGCTCAGCTTTAATCATTATATTGCACATAATAGATAATAATAAACTAACCGACAAAATTGCCAGTTGGTGCAAAGGCCACGGACATAACCCAAGCCGAACGTAACGGTATCACTTGCACTTTATTACCGGTCCACGTGTCCCATATGATTAATTTTCCGTCCAACGAACCGGAAACCGCATGTCTGTAAAATATATCACACAGCGTAAGTTTTTTTTACATTATAGACTTTGAAAGTCAGATTCAATTACCTACTATCGCCACTATAGTGGACGGAATTCACTTTATTAATGTGTCCTTTGAGCATTTTTTTAGTGGCCAGTTTACATTTTGGTGCATCAGCCATCTCATTAGATATTTCTTCGATGGTTTTGTCTTGTTTGCTTTTTTGGTCTTGCTGTATAAAAAACAATGGCGTTGTAGACATATAGATTAACTAAATCACCTAACTCTATAGTTAATTTCAATCGGGAAAATATTCCAAAATACTTAAAATTAAATCGATTCTACGATTTTCAATGTTGAGTATAATATTTAAATAGTGCTTTTTTAAGCTTTATATTTTTTTAGGTATAGGAAATCAATAGTCGAATGAATTTTGTTTTGAACTTTTTTCAATATTACGATACAGATAAATAGGTACAAATAATATTATTCAAACTTACCAGTAAGACAAAACAGGCCAAAAAAACTGAATTTGCAGAAATAAAAACAAAAACAGAGTCTTAAAAATGTATACGTGTAAGTAGGTACATATATTATGAAATTATATTGTAATTGGAAAATCTCAGAAAAATATCAAATTAAGCACAAATTATTGAATTTTGTCAAATATGCGAGCAGGTATTTACTTCATTTGATTACCCTGTATTATAATACATACAAGTATATAGCGGGATCATAATTTTCTTCTATAAATATACATAATAGAGAATAATGTATAATGTAACATTTTTATTAAATAGTTTAATCTAAAATTATATGTGGACTTAACATTTTTAGATGCCCTTTTAAATGGAATTTGGAGGTCAACTTTTAAAAAATTTAAATGGTAACCTATATTCGAATAACCATAGATAGACGGAGTATAAATTCAAATAAATTTTGGTGTTGACATTTTTGATGTTCGTCAAAGCGTCAATCCGTTAACGAGATATTCCACTTTTTAGTTTAGACAGGGGAAGTGTAGTGGAACACTATACAAACACCGCACGCGTACCGTGCCACTACACAAACTAATAGTGTTCCACTAATTCTCCCTTACCGAAACTAAAAATTAGAATATTCCGCAACGTTCATATTGTTAAAAGTGTAACTTTTAATATAATATTATGCTCTATAACAATTTTTACTCACAAACTTAGAACGAGCTCTGAGCACAGAAAACTCAAAATAATCGGATCTGGTTCCTGAAGCATTGAATTTGGAATGAGCTTTTAGTTTTAGAAATACTAAGTTTTTAAGTTCTTTTGAGAATTAGGAAGGAAATGGGGACTAAATGATGTTTCTTAGTGGGACAAAACTAAGGAAACAATAATGTAATGCATCATAGAAAATATTGACTGCTGGATTTAGATCGATCTGGGATAGAGTTAAGTTTCAGCTAAATGACTTCAAATACCTAATCTTTATTAGTTCACAATTAGCTATACGATAATCAAAAATGAGTGAGAAATATTGAAAGAACGTATAATTTCAGTGGGATTTATTTGGATACTTGACTGTTAACCTGATAGCTGTTTGCCGTACACCAGTAGTGATCACCTACGGTCCTCGATCATTTATTAATCAGCCCACCAAAGTATTCCCAAAGTATCTCCCCAGATTTTCTTTACAAGTGCTACACTTAAATATCGGAACAAGATTTCTACACTCCGTGCCACGAGAGAAGTAACCCGTGTCCTAACCAAATTGCGTTTGAATTCACTTATTTCCCACTTATTTGACATACCGTCGTTGCACGATCACAATCTTTAACGATCGGAACGATGTATAGATCTACGTGTGAATTATGACTAATGAGTCATTACGTACACTTGATACAGTATGTCAATGCGTCTGTGCCACTATGAACCGCGCAATTACTTTCACTCCGTTGACTGTTTAATGATTTGTTCTGCACGTGATATACGATATTATAAACAACATTATAATATAATCGCTCTGTATATCACTTATTTTGCGCTGTATGCACACCACATTGCGAACTGTAGGGGACAAAGTGGGGAAAACGGAGCCCAGTAACGCTCCCTGCCGTCAGTCTGCATGCGCGAAACGGGTTATTTCTAGTGATGGGAATAATCGAATGACTTCGATAATCGAGAGATTAGTAATCGAGATATTATCGATTCACTCGATTAAAATAATCGAAATATTGTACCTAATCGAATAGATTAAGATTGTTATCTAATCGATAGAAATTTTGATTTTTCATAATCGAGTGATTTGTTCGATGTACCTAATAGAGTAGATAAGAATCACTCAATATACCGCGAAAAATTCATATTATTTTAGATTCTGAGCAGTAACACTCATAATTCATTAAATCTACAACATTCTTACATTTTAAATTAGTTGTATTTCCGTAAAACTTTAATTCTTTTTTACAGATTTGACAATTAACTACACTTTTATCGGCATTTTTTCTAAAATGCTCCCACACTACAGAACGTTTTTGACTGCCTGGTCGCATTTTAAAAGTTAAAAATTTATTTCGGATTTTTTACGATACGCGTTAATTTCGTATACGATGTTTTACGATACGCAGACGGTTTCAACTAATGAAACAAACGATACAATAAAATGTACCTAAATAAGGGTCATTCGTTATTTATAAAATAGTTAATTATTATATGGTGTGTGTGTGTGTGATCAAAATTAGAATAGGAACATTAGCAAATTAGCAACTACCTGTTTCATTTATGATTCTAGAATCATCTAGAAATGATTAGAATGATCTACTTAGCATTTGCGCACAATAGTAAACTATGGGTTATTTTATTTTGATTCATATCGTACATTATTATACTTTGCGCGAGATAAGAACGTCATTGTGCAGGCATGCCGCTGTTCTGAATGTTTTGATACACCGTCCGCGATAAGACAATAGCAATATAGGTAATATTAGTTATTAGTAGTCAATAAAATAGTAGAAAGAAATAAGAATGATTACTGATACTGTTTCGATTAATCACCAACTATTAAATTACTGAACTAGTGATTGTACAAATAGTAACTATTAATTAGTAATTACTAATTTTTCATTCGATTATTTTTCTAATAATCGAATTACTCGATACATTCAAATAATCGAGTTACTCGATTATTTTCTCTCGTGGTGCGGAGTATAGTAGAAAAGTTTTTCATAGAAAAAAAAAAAAACATCATTTTAAAACCATAAGCTCCGTCACTCCACTCATAATCTAAAATATTCCATTAACTTGAAAGTAAAAGTTTAAATTTTCGGCCTGCCAAGAATTATTTATTTTTTTTTTATGCCCTCTGTAAAAAAAAGGTTAAGTCACTTCATGGTTGGATAAGGTCGGTGTACTGCCGTACACAATTGGAACTGTTGTCGTTATATTATTCCGAATTTCTTGACTCGATGTGGTTACGGAAAATGTGAACGTTATAACAGCGTGCACGCGCCGATAAGGACAGTCACGCAAAAGTCGGTGTTTCACTTTGATCAAAATTAAATGTATAGCATTATATAGATGAACAAAACTGTTTTCACATGAAAAACTCTAACGCCTTGTACATATTTGTCAAATTTTAATCATTGGTTTTAGGTCCATTATTACCCCGGCACCCGACTATCAAAATGTCAAGAATAAGTTAATGATTTGTCACTCCATTTTAACACCCGAAAACCGTCTTTTTATTACCTAGTATGGGGTGTTGGGTTAAACTTTCCCCGGCACCAGAATAGGTGAAAATCGGTTCAAAGCGACAGGTTAAAACTTGTAATTTATTATTCAAAAACTTAAATGTTATGTAAAACAAATTTCGAAAAAATTTGACATTCCGTGGTATTGAGTATACTTACTTAAATATATCACCTTGTATGTACAGGAATATATACTGGAAAGAAAAACTAGCAGATAGTCTTCTTTGGGTGTTAAAATGGAATAATATATTCCGAATTTATTATAACAGATTAAAACAAACTTTGCCGTAACTAGTAATGGACGGAACCAACCAGTTTTGACTGTCGATTGTTAATCGATAGTTGAAAAAACAACAGGGTGATTTATCGATTGAATAGGCAATGTTATCCATCGATGGTTTTAAAAATTATCGAATGAATTAGTCGATAGTTGTCATTCAGTAGTAGCACCGGCCACCGACCGATTTCAATTATCGATAGTTTAAAAAACAACCTAGTATTTTTGACTCATTAGTTTAAAAACAACAGAGTACTTTTCCAACTGAATAAATGGTGTCGATAATCGATCATTTTTAAAAACAACGAAGTAGATAGTTTGAAACTATCGAGTACTTCGATAGCTTCACTCGGTACCCGGTAGTGCCTATCACTAACCATATCGTCTCGTATCAGTTTGAAGTCTCTAAGCACATTTATACCGATGCTGGCATTTTCCTCAGCACTTCGAAAATAAAAAAAAAATACAGTTTTCGGGTGTTAAATGGAGTAAAAATTTTGAATTTCGTTCAACAAATTATCAATTAATTCATTACATAATTTTTAAGTTAAAATTTCAAAGTTAGGTGCCAGGATACTGAAGCTAATGTTTTTTTATTTCAAAGAAGAGAAATTATTTTACAGGTTGGATAGAAATATGAATTTTCATTTAACTTTGAATAGTACTAGAAAATATATTTAAAAAATAACATATATTGACATTATTCAAATGCATATTTTAACTTCATTTATCAGTATTATGATATTTTTTTTCTATCCGACCCACAAAATGTTCCCTCATCTGAATAAAAAAAATTAACTAAATCCGACAATTCTATAGGATGTGAGAAATTTTTCTGCAAGACATGTTATTGTAGTAAAAATACACTTATTCTGATACCATAAAACGTTGATAATTTTAATTTTTTTATTATTAAAATCTGATTTGTTAATTTAGAAAAAAAAAATAATAATTGGGTATATTTCAATTTAAAACTCAGTAACAATTGCATAGGCTCGTCTTTTAAATTTATACTCATAATGTTATAGATAATATCTAATGAGTTTATATTGACATTCTACAAAAATCAATAGTAAATACTAAACAGTAACTTTCGAATTAACCATATGAAACCCTAGTAAATATATTTCACCTTCAAAGGTATCTAATGACATAAAAAAAAAAAAAAAGGTTAATTTGGTTTTGTGTAATAACATAAATTAGTCAAATTAAAATGTAAGAAAAATACTAACTAAAAATATAATGTTTATTGTATAAACATTTAATCAGATAGTAAAATTAATGGACATTCTTAAATAATAATAGAGCTGTGATTTCAATGATTTCTCAAAGATTGATACCTGATATTTGTAGTGTTACAAATTTGTTTCATGTACCACTTTTAAATGAGATGGAAAATTTAATTTTTAGTCGATTTTCTATCAAATTTATGATTTTTATTACAGGTGCCTAACAAATTGTAAAATAGACACTAATATTATATTATCAGATAATGGTAATATTGCAACAGAATAGAATTTCATCTATTCTGTGATGTTACTACCCAGATTGTTTAATGATTTCTTAGATCACTAAAATCAATACTATTAAGTAGGAGTTTTTTCAGGTTAAAAGAAGTCCAAGTTGATTTCTGTTAATTTTTTAAAATTTATACCAAAATTATTAGAAAAAAAAAAATTGGTGCATTTTAATAGTTTACTATTTAGAATTTTTAGGATTTTATATCATACACATTACATTCCTAGCTATTATTTTAATAAAAATAATTATTCATAACAAATCCTGATTGTAATTCTGATGGTGTGTCTTATTTTAATGACTTATATTTATCTCATAGTTTAATTATTTTCCAACAAATGTTAATTCTTTTTATGAGATTGAAGTTAATAATTATTATTAAACAAAAGTGCCTATTGATTATATAGATTATAAAAAAAGTAAATTTTTTTAATTATATAAAAAAAAGGTGAAATCTTGCAAAAAATATTATAAATGAGACAATATTAATTAAACAATCGAATGTATTACCTGACATTTTGCAATTAAATCTTCCAATTCTTTTCGAAGGGAAATTAGTTCTGGATCTTTTGGAGGCATTATTAATGATTAAAACAATATAAAACAAAGAAGTGTTACGTTCACAAAAGACAAGTATAAAGTGAATAAAGAATATCTTTAATGCCATTAGTATATTTAAATCCAATTATGACAAATCAGGGCTTATAGTAGCGTGTAGTATACAACCCTTCCATATATTATTATATACACACTAACTGCGGTTTAATGCAGCTTGTGCAGCTTTTACTCGTTCAGTTAACAATTGTAATTTGCTATCGCTAATGTTTTTAGAGGCATTTTTTATGAGGAAGTGACTTAAAAATAGTGAGAGTCCTTCGCGGAAAAACTGTAAGCCTGGGTTTTTAGATGCTTTCATGAATATATTAGCTGTTTCTTCATCGTCAATATCCTGTAACACTTTGATAAGAGTTTGTCGTACAAAACTCACCATTAGTTTGTTCAAACTTCCCCAGTCAACATTCTATTGAATAAATAAAAATGTATTACAAAAATTTGGTAAATTAAAATCAATAGAAGTTTTTTACTTTTAAAATTGTGATTGGGAGCGAATGATTTCGTAACATTTGGGCTAAAAATGATGCTAAAATAGGAATTTGATATGTTTTCAAATTTGAAATTTCCTCCAAACGCACATTTAAAGATTTCTTGATAAACGCCTAAAATGCAAATTAAATTCAATTATAGTATTCATATTAGAATAGTAAAACATTTTTTTTAAATACCTGATATTTCCTATCAGATTCACAAAGCTGTTGTGCTATAAAAGCAAAGTATGGATTGTACACTTTGTAAATTAATAAACAATGAATTAATACACTAACTATTTCTTCTTGTTGTTGGCCTTTCAAACCCAATCGAATTAGTTTATTGAAAGCATCTAAATAATCCTATGAAAATATAATCATATTTGTTAAATTAGTACTTATAATTTTTATATTATGCATACCTCAGCAGTGAATAAAATACAAAAAATATTTTTTCTAGTATCAGTATTCATACGATACTTTTTTGCCATCTCCAAAAGTTTTTTATCATACACGTCTTTATTTTGTGAAATATTTTTATTTATATGTTCATCGCCCTTCCATGCTGAACCCACAATCCACCAACGACCTTTATTGTCAGCTAAATATTAAAAAATTAAATACTTTTGTTATTTAGATACTACAATTGTAGACAATTAAAAAAAAAATTACATTTACCATTAAGTAAATCTTCATAGGATATAGCTAATTCTGCTGGAGTTTTATTGTATTTATAGTATGAACGTATTATTTTTTGTATATGTTCAATATACGTTGAATAACATTGTTCAGAACTAGTAGGTATTTTATTAACATTGTTATTTTTGATTGCTGACAAAATTTCCAACATAAATTTTACTCTAGAACTGAAAATAAACAAATATATAATAATATGAACAATATTCAACATAGAATGTTGAAAATTCCATATTCTAAATGTACCTGATTGTTGATTCACAGATATCTGAACTTTTTTTTTGAATGTCTAATAACAATTTTTTAATTGATGTAGGATTATCTTTCCTAAGATTAAATCCTATAGTTCTTAAAACACTTAAAATTAGATCAATGTGCTTTTCTTTGAACTTATCTACAAGTTTGTCTAAAATTTCAAAAATAAAACCACTATGAAACACCTTGAACACAATAAAATAAAATAAAACAAATGTTAAATATGGAACAAATATAATAAGTAAATAAGTAATACCTAATCAATTTTATTTCTCAAGTGTACTAACTAGTGAGGACACTATTTTGAATATACATTTTATATTATTAGTAGAGTAGCAAAAGAGGTGTTTTGGTGTTCAAACACCCCCCTTTGACTTTATTCATGCCGCCAACAATTAGAATTTTTACTAATTATGCATAAGATTTCTACAAAATGTGTTGTTTAAAATATATAATACAGATAATTATTAAGTACATGTTATGTGTGTTACATATGCACAATAAAATTACAAAGTTACATCTAAACACAAAATAAAAACACCCTTCTAAAAAAAATCCTGGCTACATTACTATATATTATATTTATGAATCTTAACAAAAACTGTTAAATAAAATCTGGTCAAAAGGTTAGAATTATAATTAAAATGTAATGAACATGTAATTAAAACACACAATTATAGTGCTTATATACAATAAATCATGTAATAGTTACAAAGCTGAGTTTAAATTATGAATATATACATACAGAGTGTGATATTGAAGTTCCCTATGCTTTAAAAAAATATTTTATATTATGACATAATACCGTCATCTGTTATGTATTTTATACATTATATTTGAATCTATTAATAAAAATTAAATTTTAAAAGTATGTTAATATTGTAATATATATTAGAAATCAGAAAATAGAACCAAAAATCATGTGTTTAGACCTAGAATCAAATCCTAGTTTCTAAATTGGCAAATGATTTTCTACCTGGTAGGTGACCTTCAACATTATATTTTCTTACCTTCTTAAAATATTACTAACAATATCACATTAATTATTTACTTACTTTAAAAGCATACATACAACACAACAGTAGCATGATATTATCTACCTCTTTATCCTCTACTTTTGTATTATCGCTTTCAATTAGTGTGTTTAATTTAGTTGCTAAATTTTGAAGAAAAAATGCACCTGTAAATCAATACAAATATTTAATATTGTTATTCAAGTGTAGTCAAATATAGGTAAATAGTATTATATGTATTATTTTTTTATATTGTTTTTATAAGTATCAATACCTATGATGATGAATTATTACAGTCAATGTAACACTAATTTCAATGTGCACATTTTTAAAACTCATTTTGTATAACAATACATTTGTCTGTTATGTGTATAAAAAAAAGTTATTTTAAATTGAAATAGTGTACTTCTATTTAATTTTGAACAATTTGTTTATAGATATAGAATTAGTTTAATATTAATAAATTAATAAACTTTATAAATTATATATTTCAAAATCATATATTTTCTTATCATAACTAAGAAGTTAAATTATTATTAACACATTGTTGAATCTTTGGTGGTTTTCTATCACAGTACTAAAGTGTTTTATTTGGAGGGGAGGTGCTAGTGAATAGGTACTCTGTACAAATAGTAGTACATATTATATGGCTTTATTTCCATTAAATTTTGAAAAATGTTCCCTATGAGATTATTCCCAAGCATTTTAAAACACTATGCAAGAAATAAAAAAATTATACAATTGAAAATAAAAATAATTCATAGCATATTTTATAATTCATTTGTTAGAAACTAATAGTTTTTATATTTTTAGTATAAGATATAATTTTTTAGAAAAAAAAAAAAAATATATATTTATTCATTGTTTGATTAATTTAGTTATTGAAGATGAACTAATTAAACAAATTTAATTGAAACCTAACTAAACGACAACACAGATAATGTTAATATCTTTAAGTTTGATAAAATATCAATTAATAAAACTAACAGCACAGAGTTGTCCCTACTCAAAAAATGTTTGCAATGTTGTGCGGTTGTATGGTGGAGACAGTACATGTAGGCATGGCATCCACTTAAAGGAGACTCATTTATTTCATAAATGATTAAATATTTATTATGCATACTTAAACTCACTATTATTTGATAGACACAGTAATTAAAATAAATTAATAATTAACAATACTATATATAAATAATTTACCCTCATTTCAATTTAATGAACTTAAACTAGTTAATTTTGAAAATTATGAAGGAGAACTTGAACTAGTTCAGATTAAATATCTCAAATTTTAACTAGTTTATTTTTAAAAAAGATTTACAGCACACTAAAAGATAATTTCATTCAATTTTTTGTTAATGATAAAGGTTAATTATTTTACTAAGTATTATAGAAATTTGTAAATTTTATTGTATATACTCTTAAAAATTGCCTAAACACCATTAGAAATAACAATAATTGACGGTATGTCTATACTATTCTATTCTAGATAAAGCATATTGAATTTATAAAAATTAATATTTTCTATTTTATTAACTTAGTTTCATTTATAATTACCGATTTCACTACCGACATTAGTATGTAGAACTGTTATTAATGTACTACTCTCTACAATAATTCTATACGGTGTTACACATGTTGAATTGACTATAGAATCGGTAATACACTTATACACCGTTTCATTCATATTATTTCTGCTGTTAATTTGATAAAGGTCTTCTATCTGTAATCATGTATCAATAATAAATGTAAATAACACATTTGGTAAAAATGAATTAATTTTTTAAATTGTACCTGTCTACTAATGTTGTGCATATTAGTTTCAGCTAACCTATTTAACAGCCCTTTTACTTGTTGTCTAAGACGTATAAGTTGTTCAGAATCTTCATTTTGTTTTTTTCTTAAATGTGGAGGAATGTAAACTGAAGATTGTTCCTATTAATATACATAATTGAGGGAAAATTTAAACAGATAACAATTATTTTATTTTTTTAATAAATTGCTTACTATTATAGTACCATCAGATTCTCTTATTCTACCATAAATATCTTCTTTAGTATTTTTAATTTTTGTATTGGCATTAGAGTCATTGTATGATAAATCATCATCTAATTCACTGTCATAGCCATCTTCATTAGATGACATTTCTTCTGTTCCATAATCAAAATCTTCTTCGTGGTCATAATCAAATTTTCCTTCAAAATTGTTACCACCGTGTTCTTTATCAGACATATTTTCATCTTCACACTCCTCATCAAAAGCTTCTTCATCAGAAACATTTTCATCTTCACACTCCTCATCAAAAGCTTCTTCATCAGAAACATTTTCATCTTCTAGATCATCATCAGAAATATTTGCGTCATTGTGATCATAATCAAACGTTTCTTCCATAGATGAATTTCCATCAGTGCAATCAAATGTAACTTTTTTTTTTGGTTTAATTTCTGATTTTTTTTTCTTTTTACTATTCAAAGCATTAACAGATTTATAATCATCATCAAAGTTTGAATCAATGTCCATTAAACTTTCTTTTAAAGTTGCACAGTTTTTACGTGTTTCGGGATCACACATATCCAACAAGTCTAGTTACAAAATTAATTAAGGTTAAATTAATATATATATATATACATTAAGAAGAAATTATCCTACAGCTGTCCTACATAATATATTATATTATTGCAGAGGTTTAAACCAAAATGTACATATTTTGATTAAAGTCTATAAAACATGTTCTACATAGTACCTACAATGTTTGAATTTAAATATATAAAAATATAATTTATAAAAGGATACAATCAAGTCCATCATCAACAAAAGACTTCCCAACTGTTTTCCTCTTGTCTATTTTTAAATGTTTTGCCAATCTTTTGATTTCTTTATCTTCTTCTTCATTTGCTTTTAACAATTGCTCACGACGACATTTCTCATATTGTTTTTTTAGTTTATTTTCTTCAGATTTTTCTTTGTTTCTATCTACTACTCTCCAATCGGATACGCTTGAAGTCACAGGTGATTTTTTTTTTTTAGCATTCACTTTACTCACATTAGTTACATTAACTTCATTTTTTATGGCTTGCTGCAAGTGTCCCTTTTTTTGTTTTTTCATTTGGCGCAAGGCTTTACGTTCAGCTTTTCTCGATTTGAAAACAAATCGTTGCTCTGAACTGGTTTTTACTGAAGATTTCTTCTTCATTTTCTTCAAATTAATGGATAAAAAAATAAAATAAAAACTATTCGATTCAAATATTATATTAAATAATTCATAAAAATTGGAGTGCGCGAAGTTAGGGGATAGATCTATAATAGTGGTTCATACTGTTCATAGATATAATGATATCTATTATCTGTGTTATAAAGTCAATGTACACGGTACCATTTTTCTCTTATCACTTGCTGAGTCGCTGGTACGATTTAAGATAGTGTGGTTACCCCACGGTCTTAGATGATAGCCCGAAGACCTATGATAAGGTACTTTGTGTCTCAGTTCCCTGATATATTTGGAGGGCTTGACGACTGATTTGTGTAGATGCATTAATGCATAGACAAGTATACTGCGTTAATGCACATGATCGCTGTTATATAGTACGAGATCGTAAATGGCATTGTCATATGTACAAATATATACTAATATTATGGTCATATGTCATTATTTTTATTTCTTTACATTGCTTGAAATACTTTGATTAACAACGTAGGTATTCATATTTTACATTTCTGTGTTTAGTCATACAATCATTTTTTCTTTATAGAATAGTCTGGATTGTTACTGCCATCTAGCGTTATAATTACGGCTATTGGGGCTTTCGGTTTTCACAACATTACTCCTTGTTTATCTGGATCGCGATTGAAAGGAACTAGGTTGCGATCTAGTCGACACTAATGATAAGGCTATGAAGATATAGGAGATATAGGAGATGAGCGCTATAAAAGCATTAGAATAATAGTAATTTAGCCAAAATAATCCATTTATAGCTTTAGATTCTGAGTGGAGCAAAGAAACTTATGGTTTTATAAGGATGTTTTTTTTTTTATCTGTTAACAACTTTTCTACCAGAAGACTTACTCGGATTTCTAAGTGTAGCACCTTTTCTGAAAGGAAATCGGTGTAGGGAGGTGATTATTTTTGATTATCTCAAGAGTTTTCCCAGGAAATGTGAAAAACAGGGGGAAAAAATGGGAAAATCAGTACAACATTAAACAAATACTATTAAAGAAAATATATTGAAACTATTTAATTATTTTACTATAATATGACATATACATTATTGACAAAGCATCACTAACAACTGAACTCCGTTCAGTATCGTTTTTTTGGTAAGTTTATCATTGTTTACAGGTATACATTAAATTATCTATAACAATTACTACACCCATCACCATTATCTTAGGACGTCTTTTTTTTTAAATTTCTTTATTAAAACTTATTTTGTTTAGCAATAAAAGTACATAATGTTTAATTCTGAAATAGAAATCACCGTCATAATTCAATATATTAGTGATTTTAAAAAACCTTTTGTCGAAGGTTCAAAAATGCAACCATATTATTGAAATAAGTTTAAGAGAAAAAAAGTCGTCCTAGGATAAAAGGGACGGGTACAAACCACTGTTACAGATAATTTTATGTATACCTGTAAGCAACAATAAATCATTACTAACAAAAAAGGATTCTGAGCGGAGTTCAGATGATAATGATACTTTGTCAACAATATATATGTCATATTATAGTAAGACAATTAAATAGGCTTTATATATTTTCATTAAAAATATTTGTTTAATGTTGTACCGATTTTCCGGGTTTTCCCATGTTTTCCCGGTTTTTCATATTTGCTGGGAAAACTGGGAAAATCGAAAAATGACCTCTTTAAAGTACCTTCCCATTCAAATTTATTTTTAGAAAAATTGCTATTATTGTAAATCTGATCAAAATTGTTGGTAGAAAAGTTGTGCACAGAAAAAAAAAAATCGTAATATTTTAGTATTATACTTTGTACATTTTCCCGTTTTTCTTTCGGCTTTTCACATTTGATGAGAAAACTCGTAAAGATAATCGAAAAATAGCCTTCTATAAAGTACCAACCCACATCGGTTTTCTTTCAGAAAAGGTGATACACTTAAAAAGCAGAGCAATATTTCTGGGAGAAAAGTTGCGCACAATTAAAGAAAAAAATTCGACGATAAGGACCGTACGGAATCGTGTTCTACCCAAGAAGATATGAAGGGATTCGAACAATGTCTAGATGTCAGTATTTTGTGTTTAATATTTTAACCGTAAAATGGGGCGAATAGAAAAAAAATCGGAAAAGTTATTACACCGATGTCCTCTCAATCGAGTGTGCATGATATCAATGTGAAACCTTCACTAAATCGAATACACATTAGTACGAAATGCACCTAAAATTAATATATTATCTTAATATGAAAACATTTTTAGTAGTTAAATTTTAATATAGAAAAAAATCATAAATACTTCTATTGACACCGTCCTTCGCGGAAATAGAAACAGTGCACGCGAAAAAATATGTTACGACGTAACTACAAATTGCGGCGGGTGACTGGAGTGTCGGGGAACGGCCGACCGGACACGCGGATAACGTTACAGTACCCGTCGGGGAAAAACGGAAGGCGCAAAAATCGCGGAGTCGGCGTATAATAGTTTGTAAAAATCCAATAGAAATCATCGTGCACCAAACGGACCGTGAAAACGCGTGGATAAAACTCCCCATATTCACGGAAAATCGCTAAGGAGATTTATACAGCGCCGTCGTTGTCACACGATAGACCAGCCACCAGTGCGAGGAATTATTATTAGCGAGAAGTTTGGGAACACGTGAGTATAATTTTTATTTCTAATTTATTTAATTGATTAATAATTAATTTTAAAATTATAAGTTTAAATTAATTATAGTTTTTTTTTTTTGAAAAATGATATATATATATATATAGAAAATGAATTTCAACTTCTACAATTGTACTAAATTTAATATAGTTGGCAGTGGCTGACGAAAAATGCGTAGTAAGTTGTTGCAATATTATATACTACAAATTCTATTGTTCGTCACATAAAAGCTTTTCGGTGTAACTATATTTTATTTTATCTTTCAGAATGTTTTAAATGCCAACTATGGTGGCACGTAGCCTGTCATTATGGTAAGTGAAAAGTTGTTAAAAATGTTAAAATAAAATTAATAATTAATATCTTTATAAGATAAAGGCCAGAGGCTGTGGCAGTGGTGGCGGCAATGACATTGTCGATGACAGTGGAGCCGATGAACTTGGTGTGTTATGTATAAAATAGAATGACTAAATTAAGACAAAATTAAAATCCACCCATTGATCTAACAAACAAATAACAACTCTAGGTGGTTATAAGTTGAGAGAAAATCTAACATTTTAACATATTACATTATCGTTAATATTAATTAATAGTATCTAAAATAGTAGATACTATCTTAAATCATGTCTACCATGTATTATAATTATATTGATTATGTCATTAAAATAATTATTGTGATAAGTTAATATTTTGAAAAGCGTACAACAGCATTCATTGATGAAGTTTATATAATATTATGGAAGAATCTGAAATACCTAGTAAGCTTGTGACACTAAAATATATATGGAAGGTACAAAATACCAGGTGAGGGTAGACGGGAGATTAGCTGAGGCTTTCATGGTACAACCCAGCTGAAAATAAGAAAAATCACTATCCTCGTTATTGTGTATAATTTAATGCTAGAAAAGGCAGAAAGAATGATGCAAAGAGAGGCAAATGGAATAACAATAGATGGACATTAAGTGTGGATTTTAGGTTTTGCATATGATTTGAATATTCTTAGTGAGTCACTGGAGGGTGCTATAGATCTACACAACTACAGTAGGATTAAAAACTAATGTGGAAAAACCAATATATTGGAGCTTGTCAGCAATGTGTTACCTCAAATCTTAAGAGTATAGTCTCTATAGTGTTTGAAAAAGTTGAAGGATTCCAATATCTCAATAAAAAACAAATGATTGGTCACGATCACAAACAAAGTCAGAAAGAGATTCTTTTCCCTGACTAATTTCTTTGAATACAAAGTTTTCTCTAAGAAAACAAAACTTAAGACTGTACACAGTAATGATTAGACCTACGCTCACTTAAGGATGTGAAGTATAGACTACGATAAGTGTAATAGTAAGGTTAGGTTTAGTTAGGACTTAGAACTTTTGAAAATAAAATTAGGAGAATGATATGTGAACCAGTTGAATGAATGGAGTAGTCATTTTAATAAGGAAGTTTGAAAACTGGGATGAATATTAATCACTCGTGTAGAAGAAAAAGAAAATAGGTTAATCTCTACAGTGTATCAAATTAATTTGAACGTTTTTGGTGGGAATCATTAAAATTAAAAATAAATTTGATACTTACCAAAATCAAAAATATCCTATATATATATATATATTATTACAAGAACCCAAAACCTCAAAATTCTTGTAGATATTTAATCTTATAGGATAAATTGTAAATGTTTACATTTTTTTTTTTTCAAACTAAATAATTCATATGTTTCTGAATGTATTTTATTATTACACATATAACAATATCAGTTAATATTTATATCTTGAAATTTTTTTGATTATTTTTATTTGTGCACAATATTAAACTAGAAATATTAAATAACATTCATGAAATATAGTCATTAAATAGTACATAATTGGTAGATATTATAATGTTATTTCAATAATATTCTTTTTTATTCATTGTTTTCAGCATGACAGAGACAACATTATAGGAAGTTGTTATAACCTAAATTTACATGATATTTAATAAAGTATTGTAATTAAATAATTATTATAAGAAAATGAATAATTACATACATTTGCAAATAATTGTAAATTAATAATTTTTGTTGGCGAAGCTTTTAACATAAGTTGATGAGTATTATTCATTTGCATAGACAATAGCAACAATTTTTTAAATTTTAAATCTGCAGTTGTCCAATTACCAGAATATATTGCAAAGTTGATGGATTCCTTCTGTATAAATACACAGTAATTTTCAAACAAGTTCTAAATAAATAGGACATTTTAATATTTACTTGAAGGTTTAAATTATCAAATAAATAACAATATAAATATAACTCTGAACAGTAAAATACAAATATTGTGGCGAGTTTGAATACCGACATAAGGGAAAATAGTTCTGGTGATGTACAAACCTATATAAATGAAGTACATATATTCTATTAAAATACTCGTGGTAAAATTTAATATTTCTTTGTAAATTTTAATCAACCTTAATTAATGAATAGGTCGCTGTTGTAATTCCAATTGAAATAAGAGCAACATATACTAAAATCATAGGCCACACTATGGAATAATATAACTTCAATTTCCTACAAAACAAACAATTTACCTAGAGCTTGCAATAGTTAAATTAAATTTTTTCCTGAAACATTTTCTATAATTATATTATGTACATACATATATATATAATACTATAATTTATAGAAGTTGATTAAAGTAGATTGGTACTAAAAATCTGAATGGTACAACAATATCTGGCTAGGGCCAACTAATTTGTAAAATAATTCGGTTAGGTTCAGATTTTCGTGGGTGTATCAGGAATAGGTTCGTTATTTTATTGAGGTGGAATAGTTTGGTTAAAACATGTTTTCCAAAGATTTCTGGCAGAGCATGCAACACTATAGTCTGTTGGTTATTTTAAAAACTAGGACGTCTATATTAATATCAAGATATGAAATGAAACCATGAGATTGGAGACTCGGGGTCACCCATTTATTTAATACTGGAATATAGACAGTGTTGTATTCTGGTAGGCCTGGTGGTATTAAATTACAAATATAATTAAGAAATGGTCTGCATATTGTGTTTAAAAAAACTTAACACGACCCGGACATTTATAATTTAAAAATTGTCGAGTTCAGGACTTGCAGGACTTAAATAGGTTTTTCTGTCTTGAAAAAAATTGAAATTGATAACATTTTTATTTAGAAATATGTATCAGTAAGTAAAATTAACAATAAATTTATAGATACTTACAAATACAATTGTAGTTGATCAAATAGTACTGATTTAAACTCTTTATAATTTTTGGAAAAATTGTTCTTGTTATCTGAAATGATCAATTAAATTAATATATTTGTTGGGGTTTTTTTTGTGTAAGGGAACAACTAATTCAAATTTCTTCACTGACAAGTGATTTGTAACTATTAAATCTAACTCTTATTTAGGTTTTACCTTTGATTTACTTTTCTTGATGTATAAGTATTATTAGGAGTTACTATTAAGTGCATATGTTTATGCACTTAAAATAACTGTAATATGTATGCATTTATAAACTAAATAATTATCAAATATGCACAAAAATATTTATTATTACCTTAATTTTTAAGCAAGATCTAATCATTTTTAAATAGTGATATTTAACATACTCGTATCTCATTTAAAAATAAAAATATCGAAAAATCATGAGCGCTAGGACATCTATAATCTTCTTACCTTCGAGTTTGGTAATGAGTCAATTTGCTATTAAAACTAATGGCACAACATGTGTCTTACTGAACCCTAATCTGCTATGTCTTGGGTTTATAAAACAGAGACTGTAGATGTCGCTTTGGCGTTAATTTGTATTAGTAATTATTTGTATTTATTATTTATTTAATATTGCTTATTAATTTACAATAAAAGCGTTACAGTGTTTTACAATGGTTTTTTAATTCGCTCAAATTTTATGCTTTTTTGCTTTATATTTTGTTATTAATTCAAATCGTTTTTGAACAGTTCCGAAATGTACTGAAATATGCATTTATATTCTTAATATCCTAAAATATGCTAAGTAAAAATAGTATTATTTTATTCAGTTGAACATGGATCAAATTTGTATCCAGGTCAGCATTGAATTAGATAGACCGAGAAAAATATGCAATTTCATAAACATCCGAATCCCAATTATTATTATTAACAGTTATTACTAATGTAAATCCTATGGAAATGTATTTAGTAATTTTACCATGGTGAGTAATCGGTGTTATTTTCATAAAAGTCTATATGAATAGGATAACTATAATATTAAATAACGAATTTTATTGTACATTTTTGTTTGCGTGCAACGTGCATAATAATTATTAAGTATTAAAAGCTATTTCACAGGTCGGATTCAACATAATTATTAGTTAGGTTAATTTGTTTTATTATCACATAGGTGCTTGTATAATGGTGAACTCGCACAAACGTCCAGCAAAAGATTAACATAATTTTTGATATGAAATCAATTACCGAATACATCGAAATAGATAAACAATATTATATAAATAAATCGAATTATATTTATTACACCAATACGTGGTAATAACCAATCTTAATTATTCGTTACACAGTTTAAACTTGATACTTATAAATGTCATTAATAAGTAATTACACTTACAGAAATACAGAATGCATAATTGGTAAACTTCATGCTGTGTTCACCCGTATAGGTACGTATATTTTTGTTTAAATTTTAAGGTACAAGTGCGTATGCGTGCGTATTTGTACTATTTTTACAAGGCAGGTGTACGCTATTCATCAAATGTGGTTAATACTTTTACGCCGTGTACCCACCAAAACCCTAGGTAACAGTTTCTTACCTATTTGGCAAATGTCTTCGTTCCTAATGTTTTCGAAAGCCCGGGACAGTGTTTTGTATTGAGCCATAATAATCCAACAGAAACACATTACAAACGTGTCTGCCAACGTAGTAGTATACATAAGAAATAAAGTTATTATTATTTCGATTACGTAAAACACGGCGAAATACTGATTGTACGTTTTTAGTGTGACAAAAGGATACTGCAAATCGAATATGTTCATAATACGGTCGTCTTTGTTATGGATCTTGAACGATAATACTATAAGCGGATACACGATCCATTGAATGGACATTATAAATGTGAATAAATTATAGATATTGGTAATTTTTATGGTTCGGCTACGGCATTCGTTCAGTATTTTAATGTGTCTAGTACAATATTTGCTCGTAAAGAAATTTAACCGTGAAACGTTGATCACGTCCCAAATTTTATTTTTGTTATACAACATCACGGTCATTTTCCACAAACAGATGTAAAAATTGATGAAAACCAAAAAATTGATTAATACGTCGATACCGCCTAGTAAAAGTGAATCTTCCATCTTGACAAATAAGCCCGCGGTTCCGAAACTGACTAGAGTCTGTGTGAATACGCAAAATATAGCGCAAGACAGCCAATAAACATTGTAACCGAAAATATGTGTACTATTTGGATCGCACATGTGATAAAAACGTAATCGCTTCATTGCTGCCAAGTTAATGCCAACGTTTTGATCGTTATACTCGTTGATACCCATCATTAAACAGAAACTGTTGTTACAATCTGAATATTAAATAAATCAACTGTTACTATGTGAAACAACAAATGGGTACTATAAATGAGAATACAGGATACTGTTAAAGTGGCGCAATCAGGATTTTTCGAAGGAGGGTGTCACGTATCTAAATTAAAATTAAGAAAAAAAACACGTTTTTTAACACGCCTATACTCATAGGGGGTACTAGACCCTCCCGACAGAAGGGGCCAGACAATATTTGAAGTAAATTGTTATTTAATATTATTTTGTCCAAATTTTTAGGCTAATTCCACTATTATAAAAACATTTTTCTTCTTAATTAAAATTTATATTCTTTGTTATTTGTAAATTAATACAAATAATTACAGGAATTTTAAAAGCCTGTAAATTATAATTTGGTTATTTATGTTATCTTACACATTTTAACATTTTACACGATTTCAAAGCTCCATGCGACACTCATCAGGCTGGTCTGAATGTTTTAAAGCAGAGTTTCCCAACCTATCTTCCGTGGAACACCGGTAATCTGTAAGACGTGTGGTGATGGTTGTCAGAGTTTATTACGGCGTTTATTTATGTAGGTATTTATTGTACATAATATGATTATGATTATCTTATGATAATATCATTTATGATTTTATTACTTATTAAATAAAAAAAAGTACAAGTATAAAAATAATGCTCTGCTGCAGATTAACCTGTATAATATTCTAAATTGTGATATTTACTGATTAGTTATTTCAATAGGTTAAAATAAGTTCGGTTAAAACTCCGAACAAGACCTTTGACATATTTAGGTACCATAGGCATGTGTAGGAGGATGCCGATTATTCCATGGCATCCCCTGCGGTCTGCGGACCACTTTTTGGTTCTTTACTGTTTAATGAGGTATTTTATAAACAGTTATCAGTTAAGAAATTTTATCAATTAAGCTTACGTTTTTTTTTTTCGGTAATTTTCATCATGGCTATAGATAATATCTTTGATCGTGATTTTCATCAAATACATTTTAGTGATAATGTTAGTTGGGAATTGAGATATCACATCTATGTATTCACGTTACCTTAAAAGTTGCAGATAATCAATAACCATAAAGCAGTCTGATAACATTATTCGCATAACATTATTATTATTATAATTTCTACTCTAAGTAGATACCTATTAATTATTGTTGTGAACTTTATAGTTAGGGAGAAAATAATTTTTAAAAAATTATGATTTATGTCCTTATGAAGGTACTTAAGAATTCATCTATTTTAAAATATACCTACTGGCATCTCACGCGAAAAAAGTTTGTGCACGCCTATTTTATATTAATAGCTATATAAAATGTAAATACACAAATTGAATAATTTCTAGGATTTTTGCTTACTGTAAGTATTTTCTGAGAAAAAATACATCTTAGTAAAATTATAATAATTTGTTCACTATACTCAAAATGTAAAAATATACCCATAATATTATAATACATTGTTGAATTTTATTAAGACAACATTTTTACAATTTGAACGTTTTTATGGTTCCATAATATTATATAGTTTTAGAATCAACGTAGTATATGATCGGAGTTTCATATTATGTAACTATAAGTCGTACGTAGTGCTGAACAAAAATATACTAAATTACACTCAAATTTTTTGTTTATAAGTTTTAAAATCAAATTTTGACGAAAATCGTAAATTTTACGGCCTTTCAAAATATGTTTAACTAAATTTCACTCCGAATCGTTTTTCGTTAGCAATAATTTATCCTTGGTTATAGGTAGAAATTAAATTACCTAATGTATCCTGCTTTCCCAACTACTTACCTACAATAATGGCCGCACCCGTCCCCAGTATCAGCTCTTTTTTAATTTGTAACTTTGGTTTTAATTGGAAAAAAAAAACTGACGGAATAACTGAGGGATTCGATAATTTGTTCTTGAAAATTGATATGGGAGCCTAATAAAATATCACGTGAACATGAAACAATAAATTACGTTATTTATTAAAATTGTTCAGGTTATCACAGATATAAAATATATAATTACTTACCTCAATTATACTATATTGATATGGATGATAGAGAACCTTATTCGATAGCCGTGTAAAGACCACTGCAGTTAGGTTAAGAATTGCATTTTTATAAATAACTATTTAAGTTTTTATACCCTTACAAAAATTACATATTTAATAATTGCTTACCTACTGCAGCTGTGCTTATTATCAATGCGTTTAATTTATTAATTGTATTTTTATTAACCTTTATTTACGAAAATACCATATGGGTAGGTAACGATGGGTAAAATATGGGTAAGACTATGTGATTATCGTAAAGGTTGAAACGTTGTATAAATGTATAATACCCTAATACCCAAGTACATAGGTAATAATATTACTTATTTACTTAGACATGTAGCCGGGCACGTAAAATAACACTACTTTATTGAATATATAAAATTGTCTACACAGTATGCGTACGTACATAATACCTATATAAGTATAGGTACCTACTATAATATAATTATAATGCGTAGACTAGAATAGTTAATATTATGTACACATTTAATGGCCAATTTTGTGGAATTGTATTTTAACCTGTAAATATCAAAAGACGTACCCGCAACGAAAGATCCTAATACAATACATAGGTCAGGGACTAAAATTGTCACACTTTGTGTAATACGAAATTTTAGGTGCGCAGTACGGAATTGAAAAGCGTGTAGCCGCTGTGTCATGGTATTTATTTGTATTCCTTTTTGAATTTACATTTTCCGCACTATTCAATTATTATTATTATTATTATTATTATTATTATTATTGGAGGAAAAAAAAAATGTTAAAATGTGTCTTTATTAAAATTTTAAACAATAATAAGTCGACTCGTAAAACACTGACAGTTATCACATATTATTTCAAATGTGTCATTTTCAGGAGGTGGGAAGTTCGGATTATTTTTGAGATTAGGTACTTACGGATCGGTTCATTACATTAATGTGGTCAAAAGACCCGTCCATCAGAATCGAATCATATTAGATCTAACCTAACTCGATTACCCAGATACGGGTTAAAACCAGTCCGTGGTCCCCGCGAACCGCCATAAATGGTTCGTGACGGACGAACGAACGACCGGCTCATGGTCCGTTCGCGTCGTTCAAACGTACATTTCGTTTATCTGGACGACGAACACGTGATTCGGTTGTATCGTTGATGGCGGTACCGAATTAAAAGATCCAATCTAGTATACCGCTTATCACTACAATGTATTATCATCATAAATGTAGTAAATCGATTCGTTCTAACCCACAAATGTCTATATTGTGATGTACATAGATATCTGTGTTCTGACTACGAATGTATAAAAACGTTTGTTGTTTTCTGCAGTATTTGCCATCTGTAGTTCTGACCCGTGGATAAAATAGATTGTCTATGTTACCACGTTGGCGCACGGTCACCTAGATTATGATTAAACGGAACATGGACGGAATGAACCACTTTTTTTTTTTTATCATCGTGATCCGAATCGAATCGTTCGCAAGCAGTGGCGGCGCCAAAGGCGGCCCCGGGAAGGCCACGGCCCGCCTAAAACTTACGATTTAATTTATCGGTTTGAATTCGAATTTTCAATTATTGTTACGTAATTACGTATACCGGCATGCAATCCCGAGGTCCGGTTTTCCTAAATTATACACACGTGTCGCGCGCAGCTACAGATTGTTTACGTTTCATAATTGGTGCGATTCGAGGAAACGGTTTAGACGGGGATCAGGACAATATTATTGCATAATTCTAATTTTATATAATTCTGAAATATTACCGTAGCTTACATAAATACACGTTAATGTTTAATATATATACCGACAAACACTTGGTTACATTATATATTAATATAATA